CTAGACAACGACTCTTAACAGGCCAACATAAAGTTGTCCATGACTAAAAACTTGTTTAGTCAATATAAAACTGATTTTCTCAAAAGTCTGACCTTGTGACTTATTTATAGTCATGGAGAAGGCCAGCCTAATTAATTTCTAATTGAGTTTAAATTAAATATTATCATGTTTTCAGGGCATGAATCTTAATTGAACAATCTGATAATGCTCACTCTGGTTATTGTTTCCGTTTTTAAAAGCGCTATATGTTGAGCCAGTTTAAATTAAATATTATCATGTTTTTAGGGCATGAATCTTAATTGAACAAGCTGATAATGCTCACTATNTATATTAAAAATATTAAACAACTTAATTATTTAAAATAAACTACTAATAATAAATAAGAAATTTGACTTGACTTGGCATTAGAAATAAATAAATTTTTTCTTAGATACTTCTTGCTAGGGAAAAAATATAAAAAGCAAGATAAGAAATAAATGAAATATTTGTCTAGATGGAAAAAAAAGAGTGTACTTATTGCTAAACACCTGAATTATAATAATGATAATTAATAATCTGACATTTTATCAAACCCTTTAGCAGATAATATTCTGAACAAAAGGTACAAAATTATAAGATATTAATGAAGTATTAAAGAAAAAATGCATTTTAATGAAATGAGTGGAAAGGAAACTGAAAATACAATTATTCAAAATATAGTACTACTCAAACAAATTTTTCCCTGAAATAGTTTTAAAAATCTAATATTTCTGATCAGATTTACTTTAAAAGATTGCTAAAATACCCTTAACAGCATTCTAAAAAGTTTATAACTATGGAGAATACAAAGTTTATTGCTTATAAAATCTAGAATTTAGGATAAAGTCTGTACTGAGAAAAAAACTAAATAATTAACCAGGATGACGGAAACATCACATATTCTAATTTAGAACAATGACGGAGACATCATATACTCTAATTTAGAGTTTTGAAATAATTTTCAAATGAATGTATGATAGATTTTTTTACAGACCAAGAAAAGCAGCTCATAGGTTTTTTTTATATATGATGTAGAAAAAGTTTGTATTGAAAAAATTACATAGTAGGTTTTTTTATTTTTCTCATATAACTCATTAAAATGGGATGTAACTGACAACTGGACTTACTTTTATTGTGTTTTGTTTCTCTTTTCAGTTATATGAGGGGAAAAAAAATTTAAACACAGCTTGACTGACAAAAAATTAAAAACGCAACTTGCTACCATATTGTTCCTTTTTAATATTTTAAATTTTTATGTTTTGCAGCCTATTACACAAAGGATTTTAATTTAACATTACATGTTTATACAAAACTACACATACTAAATCAAGAAATATGTAGTATAAATAGAATGTTAAACACATTTAAATTAAAGTCCATATAAAATTTCACATTAAGTTTTTACCTGCTTGCTTCTTTCATCCAGAAGTTCTACAAATTTTGCAGGAAACCAGCCTCTGAGCCCGTTTAATTCTCCTATCCAGCAGTGCTCATCTTTTTGACTAATAATCTAATCAAATAAAAATAAATAAATAAATAAAACACAATAAAAGTTAGAATAAAAATAAACTAAAGGGGAGTAAATTAATAAAAGTTTAATAGTTTAAAACAAATGGTTAGCCCAGCTGGATTTCACATCATATTAACTTCTGAGATGAATATGTTATTTCAGCTGATATATTTTTGAACAATCCAGTTAATGGTTTTGGCATACACCATAATTCTTATATTCAGTAATAATTATTTTGAAAAAATATATAAAACAATGCCCAATGAAAAAATGCTTCAAAATAAAATATTTATCATTTTTAAAAACTTGTGGGCTATTCCCACTGCATTTGGTCTGCATGATTTATCAGTTTTTTTTATCTAACAATACAATTCAACCCTGTGAGAAAATGTTTTTGAGCTATCTGCGACAAAATTCTCTAGCACTAATATATTTCTGCATTATACTTTTAATGATAACAAACATATATGCTACTAATTTAAAATAACAAAAAAGCTGTGTTTACAAAAAAAACTTTTTACTTGAACATGTAATAATTTTTGAAACTAATTCACGCTAATCAGATTCCTCAAACACGTGCTCGGTTTTGAGATTAAGTTGTAATAAATAATATCGTATAAATATATCAGATTTAAAAACTATAGAGAAATCAATAGCAATAACTGCCAAAAATTCGATATAATTATTGCCTTAAAAAGTAAATAATCCAATGCACAATTCAAATTTTTCATGCAGTGTTTTCACTACAGAGCGAGAACGCGAGATTCTCGCATATTTTTTTCTTTTCTCGCATTAAAAAATGATTACCGCGAGAAATTCGCTCATTCTACAAGCCAATTTCAAAATTCGTGAATTTCTCGCATTTTGAAAAACATTTCTCATTGCGCNCGTGAAATTAACGTAATTTTAACGTAAGCCCAAAACCTTATAACGGACGAACGGATTTTTAACGTTTATTTGCCCTTTCATGCTGCATGGGATTACATTGATTTACGATACTATTGGCGTAAATTGAGCGAGTCAAAAAGTGATTATTTAAATGCATGATTCCAATATTACGTGTAAATTTCTGTAGAAAAGATAAGCAATTTCTTTTTTAACTTTTAAAAAGAAAAATCTTTCTGCAAGAACTCTAACGTTCTGAGACAATGTCGCTTTGTAACTGCGATTCTGCCACGGGTAATTCATATAAACCATAAACTTTTATTTCAATAAATGTGTTCAATATATAAACTCAGTCATTGGTTTTTACAGTAAGTATGATGTTAAAATCTGTTAATTATCTGGATTTCAATAAAATGAAAACTATAATTCCTTAAATTGATGATAAATATATACATACAGAAAATAAAATAAAAACAACTTACAGTTATAATATCATTTTTTCTAAAACCTAATTCATCATCATCATGTCTTTCAAAGTCAAGACAAGCCTTAGCACGCCTTCTTCTATTTCGAGCAACATTGGCAAATATTTCTTGATCTCTAGCATGGCCGTCCATACTGTAATCAGCAGTAAGATTCTGGTAAAATAATAAACAAACCTCAATAAAAATAAGTGCAAAACATTGAAAACATTAATTAATATTCGAACATTAAAAACACATTCAAGGTGTAAAATAAAATGTTTACCACGGTCACTTTGTTTACAGTTATTAGATGCTAGAAACAGTAATGGAGTTAAAACACACACAGTAAAACTCCAGGAGAAGAAGAAACAAAAACTGTACAAAAAAAAACATGAAGTAATGATGTATAATCATACATTTAGAAATAATATTTTCCCCACATTGATAAAAATTTTAATATTAATGCAATTGAGAGCAGTGGTGTTGGTACTTGAAATACTAGACTCAGGATTTTTCTGAGAGCTTGTCTATGACTTAACTTATGCCCTTTTAAAACCTTAAATAAATCCTAAACTTAGATTAATATTCTTAATAAGTAAATGTAAATTTGAATTTCGATTTATTTATGTGCAATTCTAATTAAAAATATTTTGTTTAACATTACATTTTAAATTACATCATAACTAATTTTATATAATGAGTAATTAGTTTTTTTTAATTTTTTATTTTAATAAATGTTACAATGTAATTTTGTAGTATGTTATAACTTTAACAATGCCATAATATTAATTTAAAATATGTATTGTTCCCATAAATATTTGTCTAAATCATTTTTATAACACTAAAATAATTATAAACTGTCAGACCTAATTTCCAACTAATTTTTAGGTCAGAATTTAGCAATTTTTCTGGCACTGACTCTATAGCATTGATGCAATTTTTTTGAAATCAAAATTCAAATTTTCTTTTCCATACTTAAATTTATTACTTTTTAGGTTTACTTTTTTAAAAAAAGTAAACACTTCACACAACAAGCATTTTGCAATAGATTTTTCCCCAAATCTTATATTATATAAAACAAAAGAGTATAATATAATAGATTAAGAAAAAAAATAGTATACCACTTTAATCTTAGGATCTACAGATTGAAAATGACGAGCTACTTGCAAAATAGCTTCTCTTAAATCCACCAGAATTTCTGTCTGTCGAACATTTTTACTTCGAATATCTTCTTCTGTTTCACCATCACCAAAGATTATTAGTTGTAGCATAGATTTTGACCGTTTCAATTGCCTCCGATTAAGATGCTACAATTTTAAACATTTATAATCATCAGCCATGCAATCTANCTAAACGTTACAATGTAATTTTGTAATATGTTATAATTTAAACGATGTCACAATATTAATTTAAAATATATATTGTTCCCATAAATATTTGTCTAAATAATTTTTATAATACTAAACTAATTATAAACTGTGAGACCTAATTTCCAACTAAATTTCAAGTCAGAATCTAGCAATTTTTCTTGGCGCCAACTCTATAGCCATGACGTAATTTTTCTTAAAATCAAAATTCAAGTTCTCTTTTGGCATACTTGAAAAAATTCATTACTTTTTAGGTTTATTTTTTTTTTGAAAAGTAAACACTTCATGCAAGAAGCATTTTGCAATAGATTTTTCCCTAAATCTTATATAAAATAAAAGAGTATAATATAATAGATTAAGAAAAAAAATAGTATACCACTTTAATCTTAGGATCTACAGATTGAAAATGACGAGCTACTTGCAAAATAGCTTCTCTTAAATCCACCAGAATTTCCGTCTGTCGAACATTTTTACTTCGAATATCTTCTTCTGTTTCACCATCACCAAAGATTATTAGTTGTAGCATAGATTTTGACCGTTTCAATTGCCTCCGATTAAGATGCTACAATTTTAAACATTTATAATCATCAGCCATACAATCTAATATATGATGAGTACTAGTTTTAAGAGCATTTTTTAAATTAAATAATAAATATTTCGAAACAACAATTCTATTAAGTAAAAATACTATGCTAAAAATTTGAAGAAAAAAAAAAGAATTTTTTAGAATCTAATTAAAAAAAAAAATTATTATTAAAATTTTTTTATTTTATCTAGAACAATGAAGTGAAATAAGAGACAAATAAGTAATTTTACTCAAGAAGAGCAGTGAAACTTAACAACTCCACAGACATGTGACTAAACTTAAAAAACATTGAAATAAAAAATACAATGTCAATTCGGTAAACAATGTCAATTCGTTATACAATGTCAATTCAATAAAAATTAAAACATAAAAATACTGAAAACACTCATAAATAATAACTGATTCAAGTAAAAATACTGAGAAACTACACGTTTGATTACATTTATTAAACTTAATTGAAAGCCATCCAAATGTTTACTACAAATCAATTAAACTGTACTTAAACTTATAATATTCAGAGTGAAATGCTGAGTAAAAAATCATTATTTATAGTAATAACTCAAGCTAAAGGTAATGCTAGAATTTAATCATTGCTATTATTTTCAGAAATTAGTTCAGGGAAAGGGAAAAAATATTAAATTATATAATATTGATGAATAATAATGATTATAATTAATATGACTATAATAATAATAATTATAATTAATATGACTATAATAATAATAATTATAATTAACACTATAATAAGAAAATTACAGAAATAGTTTTTTTTATAAATAATAGATAATTAAAACAACTTATTTCAGCATTTTTTCAAATAAAAAAATAAGAAATTTGTCATGACTAATGAGAAAAATATATAACTCCACTTACCTGTTTTGGAAGATTCCTCGCATTTTCAGGATTAAGCAGGGCACCTTGATCAGCCATTAAATATGCTAGGTGTTTTCGTCTATGAGTTTCAAGCGTCATGTCAGTCAAGGAGCCTGCAAGGTCAAATGATACCTCAAAGAGCTTGTCAACATCTTCAATTTCACCAGGTATGTCGGACAGAGCATTGAATATTTGAGCAGAATTTTCTAATGTTCTGAGATCACATTCCTAAAAATTTAAATAGCAAAATTATACCTACAAGAATACTCATTTAATAAAAAATACAGAGCTTTCCATTTAAAAATAAATTTAGATTAAACTACTTATTAACTTGAAGTAAACATATAAACTAAAATTTACATTCATCTAAAAATTATAATGCAAATTTCTTTATATGGTAAAATACTTGAAACCAAGACTAGTTAATAGGTAGTAAAATAATAGTTGCATTTTCAGTTTTTTTGTATTTAATTTTGTTAGTACTAGTAATTTTTTATTATCCTAAATATTCAGCACACAAAACAAAGTTTAAATTTGTCCACAGTACATAATGGGTTTAGTATATTAAAAACTAGTATCTGAAATATAAAAATCAAAGAATATAAATATCAAAGCATTTACTTTAAATATTATTAGAGGGGCACACATTTAATAATAAAGAAGAAAATGTCTCATTCAGTTGTTGAAATTATCAAGATGAAAACATTTTATGGAATGTAGGGATTTTAAGGAAGCAATATAGTTCTGTTCCTTTTTTCTATCTAATGTTAAATTAAATTTTGGTTTTTCTCAGTAACAAAATACAGAATGTTTTTTTATTATTTGTAAATAGTACAAATATATGTTACAAACAAAAAAAGATATGTATAACATTGTGAAGAACTGTAAAATAACAAATAAGTTTTTCTAAGAAAAAAAATTAAAAGCCCTAAAAAAATCTAGATTTGTTATGCATTAAAGTATATTTGTTTAAAGATTATGTAAAAATTAATAATTAAAGAACGTACTTTTTTTAATTTAGTGAAAGAGTTTCAATTCCAATCAATTTTGAAGCTAAAGTACTTTGAAAGAAACAAGTTAATAGATTTCAGAGCACAATTAGTCACTAGTAAATAAATACTAGCAAGTACGTGTATTATATAGCAATTTGTGATTGTTACCTATGTGAAATGAATTAATATCTCATAAGTGATAAAAATATTTAGAATAATACACAAATCGATGGTGTTTTACAACATGAGCCTAGCCAGAATTTCAGGTTTAGTGATGTTACATTTTAAAAAAGATGAATGTAAACTAAAAGAATAAAAATGATGCTTAGAATTTTATCTCAAAATTTTTTCAATCTTTAAGAAATATGCGTGATGCAAAATATAGCAAAATATATAGCAGATAGTACAAAATTATCTAAAAACTAGTACTTATTTTAATAATGCATAACTTCATACATTATTCATTTATTTTTTGCTTTGAAACTATAAGCATGCTCATTTTTTCAAAAAATAAATTGAGGATGAATATAAATAACAAAATGTTGTTTTATCTTCATAAAATTAGTTAATACTATGTATCTTATAAGAATTAGATAGGAAAAATAACATTTTAATATTTTAGAAATCAAACTTTTTCCTTCTTGCCTAGATATAAAGATAACTATAAGAGATTTGGGAAATTTTAAGCCAGTATTCAACTATCTCACATAGTGTATCCTTCATTGTACAAAAAAGTATTGAAAATAATTTCTTTGAAATAAAAGTCGGAAATCTTCTAAATTTTAGTAAGTCCCAAATTTCGCTAAAAATTGGCAGAACTTCATGCTTGAATTTAACAAAGAACTTTACATTAAAATATAATATAACATTTACTTCATAACAAGACCAAATAAACAAGACTTAAATAAAATATAAACACATAATAATATATATAATAAAAGTTATACAATTATAAAATAAAATCTAAATGCCTAAAGCACTTACTTTGATTTTTAACATTCCTAACGTAACTTGAAAAAGAACAATAGAGCCTTCGTAGAAAAACAAATCCCAGATTCTTAAAAGAATTTTTGTGTGGACAACGCTAGCAAACAGTGTGAGGGACCAATGGAGGGTAATCAAAGAGAGTTCTGCAAAAATTAGTGGATTTTATATACATAATATACTTAAAGTTCACCTAAAAGAAATTTGTTTAATTTAACTTCATTAGACATAAAAAAAAGAATAGTTAAATGGAAATGCATTGATAAATTATTTAATCCTTAAAATAAAAATGAAAACTAAAATAACAAAAAAGGAAGAAATTTGGATAACAAAATATAAATTTTTTAAATCAAGCTTTAAAAAATTCAATAGTTATAAATGAGCTAATTCAGATTGGCCAGTCAATTGGGGAAACCTTAGTTTATAATCCTTCTTTGCTAATTTCCTTAATAAAACAAAATAATTTGAAAATCATAGAAAAGTGCAAATCATTTTAAATAATATATTAGAAAAAACAAACAAACTATTTTAAATATTTCATACAGTTGTGCTCTATTTAACTAAAACTTAGTTCTAATTTAATTTATCAGACAACACTTTTTTAAATAACTTTTTAAGGCAATAGAAATTATTATTTTCATTTGTAATAACAAAATCAGCTGGGCAAAAATTTACACTGAAAACTTTAAATCCATTTGTTCTCTGTATTAACTTTATTATAACAAAATTCTTAAATACAGTCATTAATTTAAAAAAAAACATAATTATTTAACAACAAATTTTACATTTAAAATAAAATAAAACAGAAAGGCAAGTAAGAATATGGTAAGTTTAAAAAGTTGACTAGTTTTAGAAATCCTTTAAAAAAAGTAATCTTCTGTAAAAAAAGTAAACTGCCTGAATATTTTAATGAAAAAATGCTACGACCTGTAAAACTTGCTAAGAGCATTATCTTAAAAAACAAATTTTATATAATTCCACTTAAAATTCTTTAAAAGATTATTTGAGATGAAACTTTAATTACACTTCTTAGAAATAGTATTAGAACTTAGAGAAATAAATGTTAATAGAAATAAGGAATTTTTAAAACTCACTTCACAAGCAGAAGCAAATTATCAATCGAGAAGAACTGGATAAAATTAGTTTTCAAATAATGATTTTGATTATGAACTGAATTTAATATATATTTATAAAGCTTGAAAATTGCTTTTACTTAATTTATAAACTATTAAAATATGCTGTACTAAATATCTAATAGTTGAAGGGATGAAAATTTTAAACGTTTGAATTCTTAATTTATAACAAAGCTCTTTCTCAGAACTGCAGTAAGGTCTAAAAATATTAATCCTAATGTTGTTAAATTAATAAAGAATTATTGCTAAAGAAATGTAGAAAACCATACGTAAAGTATTTGGTTAAACAGCTGTTATTTTATAATTTAAGCTTGAAAAAAATAATAACAAGTAAATAATAAAATAATAATAATAAAGTATAAATAGAATAAACAGAATAGAAATAGAATAAATAGAAATATAAAACAGAGTTTTAAGTTTTATTCTATTTATACTTTNGTAGGTTTATAACAGTTTAGTTACTTAAGTTCATTTTGAAATTTTGTTCTAAAATCTATAAAACGCAATTTTTTATAGTTTTTGAAAGCAAACGATAATATTATTTTAAATTTTTAAATAAAATTTTAACTTCAAAAATTAAACCCTTTTTTGCCATGTAACCATTTCTCAAAAGTATGCATTATGTTAGACAAAAGTAAATTTTTCACAAATATGCAAAAAAACATGCATATAAATATACTTGAAAAGGATTAACGCTTTATTTGTAGTTGCCATAATCGTAGTCAATTAGAGTATTCCGTGTCCATTTTTGTTGACCAGTGAAATTATTCAGTTATTCTTGACTAATGAATAAAGGATACTGAATAACGAATAATAAATGATTTATTCTTTATTCAAAATATTTCTGACTAATGAATAAATCTTTATTCATCATTCATTATTCAGATTTTGAATTATTATTCATCATTCTTTATTCATTACTCTGTATGACAAATGCCCATCTCTGGGTTTAACAATAAAAAAAACGGCTTTTTGTAGCAATTCAGAAAACCGGAAAAATCAGTTATCCGGAATAGCGATGGTCCCGATTGTTCCAGATAATTGGTTCCCTACTGTACTTTTTTCTTAATTTTGTGAAAGATTTTCCAATAAATTTTGAAGCAAAAATACTTTGAAATAAATAAGTTTATAGTTTTTTTTCAGAACGCAATTAGTAGATAAATACTAGCAAGTACATCCATTATATAGAAATTTGTAATTGTTACCTATGAGAAATGAATTAATATCTCTGATTAAAAACAATTAGAATAATACACAAATAAATAGTGTTTTACAACATGAGCCTAGCCAGAATTTCAGGTTTAGGGATGTTACATTTTAAAAAGGATGAATGTATACCAAAAGAAAAGAAATGGTGTTTAGAATTTTATTTCGCAATTTTTTAAATCGTTAGAAAATATGTATAAAAAAGTTTTCACATTAGTTCACCAAAATAATTAGCAGATAGTACAAAATTATCTAAAAACTAGTACTTATTTTAATAATGCATAACTTCTTACATTTTTCACTTATTTTTTTGCTTTGATACAACTATAACCATGCTCATTTTTCCAAAAATAAATTGAGGATAAATGTAAATAACAAAATGTATTTTTATTTTAATAAAATTAGTTAATACTGTGCATGTTATAAGTATTAGATAGGAAAAATATAATTCTAATATTTAAGAAATCAAACCTTTTCCTTCTTGCCTAGTTATAAAGATAACTACAAGACATTTGGGCAATTTTTAAGTGAGTATTCAACTATCTCACATGGTGTATCCTTCGTTGCACGAAAAAAAAAAATTCTTTGATATAAAAGTTGGAAATCTTCTGAATTTCAAAGTCCCAAATTTTGGCAAAAATTGGCAGAACTTCATGCATGAATTTAACAAAGAACTTGTCATTAGAATATAACTTCACTTACTTCATAACAAGATCAAATAAACAAGTCTTAAATAAAATATAAACACATAATAATATATATAATAAAATTTAAACAATTATAAATTAAAATTTAAATGCCTAAAGCACTTACTTTGATTTTTAACATTCCTAATGTAACTTGAAAAAGAACAATAGAGCCTTCGTAGAAAAACAAATCCCAGATTCTTAAAAGAATTTTTGTGTGGACAACACTAGCAAACAGTGTGAGAGACCAATGGAGGGTAATCAAAGAGAGTTCTGCAAATATTAGTGTGGATTTTATTTTACATAATTTATTTACATTTCAACTAAAAACAAATTTGTTTAAGTTAGCTTCATTAGACATAAAAAAAAGAATAGTTAAATGAAAATATATGGATTAAATTATGTAATCCTTGAAATAAAAATGAAAACTAAAAAAACTAAAAAAGGAAGAAAATTTCTGTAACAAAATACAGTGGAACCTGTCTAAATTGACCTCCCTCGGGACCAAGTCAAATGGTCACTATATAAAGGTGGTCACTTTATGAAGACTCTTTAAATAAAACTTGAAGAAAATGGTCACCTTACTCAGGTGCTCACTTTACCCAGATGGTCACTTTTACAGGTTCCAATGTATAAAAATTGTTATATGAAGCTTTTAAAAAATCAATAGTTGTAAATTAGTCAATTCAGATTGGCTAGTTAATTGGGTAAACTAATTTCTTTAATAAAACAAAATAATTTGAAAATCATAGAAAAGTGCAAATCATTTTAAATAATATATTAGAAAAAGCAAACATACTATTTTAAATATTTTATACAGTTGTGCTCTATTTAACTAAAACTCAGTTCCAATTTAATTTTTTAGACATCATTTTTTTAAATAACCTTTTCAGGTAAAGGAAATTATTATTTTCATTTGCAATAACAAAATCAGCTGAGAAAAAATTTACATTATAAAATTTAAATACAGTCAATTAAAAAAAAACATTTATTTAACTACAAATTTAACATTTAAAATGAAATAAAACAGAAAGGCAAGTAGGAATATGGTAAGTTTAAATAGTTCAGTTGTTTTAGAAATCTCCATTTCAGTAAAAAAAAGTAATCTGCCTGAATATTTTAATGAAAAAATGCTACGGCCTGTAAAACTTGCTAAGAGCATTATCTTAAAAAACAAATTTTATATAATTCATTCCACTTAAAAAATTGTTTGAGATGAAACTTTAATTATACTCCAGCAGAGAAAGTACTAGAACTTAGAGAAGTAATTGCTAATAGAAATAAGGAATTTTTATAAAACTCACTTCATAAGCAGAAGTAAATTTTTAATCGAGAAGGACTGGTTAAAATTAGTTTTCAAATAATGATTTTGATTTTGAACTGAATTTAATATACATTCACAAAGTTCGAAAATTGCTTTTATTTAATTTATAAACTTGCTTTTATTTAATTTATATGTTGTACTAAATATCTAATAGTTTAAAACAAGGGATGAAAATTTTAAACGTTTGAATTCTTAATTTATAACAAAGCTCTTTCTCAGAACTGTAGTAAGGTCTAAAAATACTAATCCTAATGCTGTTAAATTAATAAAGAATTACTGCTATGAGATGTAGAAAACCATACGTAAAGTATAAACAGGTTAATTTAATTAAGTATTTGGTTAATTTGAGTTCAAAAAAATAATAATAAATTAAAAAAAATTATAAAATAAAACTTAAAACAGATTTTTGTTTCAAGTATCAACCAAATAATTCAAAATTTTGCTTTATTTTATAATTTTATTACAGTATACTCTCAATATCTCTAAGTTAAAGGGATGCTAAAAAAAATTGAGATAACAAGTTCAAAACTAAATATGTTCTAAATAGTAGAAAAATATATTTTAAAATACTACTCTAAAAAGTAAAGTCATTAAACATAAAATTAACTACTAATAAATATGCATGTAATGATAATTGACTATAAGTCTAAATGCAATGATAATTTTATTTTTAAAAGTAAGACAAAAGCAATCATGCATTAAATAGAAAATAATTGATTTACAATAAACTTATATTCTGATTTTTTCAAAAAAATTAATTTTCTATTTAGAAAAAAAATTTGACAAAACTAAGTTTTAATAAGGAACTCTTCAACATAGGAATTTAAATTAACATTTGGTAGATATATAATACCAGAGGGAGAAATATTTTTTTGACATAACAAGGTTTTGGAGGCATCAAAGTACTAGAGTATACTGCATTATCATTATTAATCAATTTCAACTTTCTTACCTATATCATGTTCTTTGAGAACAAGGTCTAAGTCTGGAAGTATACATGAAATTAAAGTGACTAATACACGTTGATCTGCTTGAACTCCAATCAGAGTACTAGAATAATAAGAAGCTGGTAATAAATCTTCTACAATAGTACACATTAGCCAAAAGGCCTCTTCTTCTTCTAAAAACAGCAATAATAATGCAGCAATCTGAAAGAAGAGAACATTTCATTTTTTAAATAGATAATCTTAATATTTTTTTTTACATACATAATACTATGATCATGTATGAATGCTAAAACTGCAACGTCATGATTAAAATTTTAAAATAAGTAATCAAAATTAATGAGCTTGTGATGTCAGGCATGAGATTGCAAAATTTAAAATAAATGAAAGAATGAGAACTATTGAAAAGAAAAAATTAAGAAGATTGTTTTTGTGCAAGGAATTTGTTAAAGAAAGTTTTTTTTAAAATGCTGCTCTTGAGGTTTAAAACATAAAACTTAATACAATAATAATTTGCAACAAGATTTATTTTAAAAATTTTTATCCAGAGTATTCATTTATAAATGATAGATGAATAGATCAGAAAAATACAGTACTTAAGAAATTAATGAACTACTACTAAGTTACTTACACAAAATTAATAAAATTAAACTATTGTATATAAGAAAGAATAAAATTATTAAAGTGAATATCAAAAAATTTAAAAGCGAAATTGACCTTAGAAACAACCTTAGTTCAATTCACACAACATAAAACTTAACAAAAGCTAATTTATAAATAGCTCTCTAATAAATTACATTGAAAAATCCTAAATGTCAACACATGGCTGTAATCTTAATAATTTAAAGTTGATTTTGATTAGTTTTTAACGATTTTGAAAAGTGCACAACACAGCTTTTAAATAGTGTGGTAATTTTAAAAATTCATCAGACATAAGAGGAAAAAAATGGAAAGTCATTAAAGAAAAAAAGAGAGAAAATTATAGAAAAATAAATGTTTTCTATGTATCACAAGGTTGAATTTACTTTTGAGGTGGGCAAAAAATTAATAGAATTTTATTTAAAGTAAGAGTATACTTTTGTTTTAAACCATGAATTATTTGGTGCTAAAATAACGTAAAAATAAAAGGAATAATTGTGTACTGTCTGCATTGAATGATTTTATTAGCTTGGACAGGTTCTGTTAAAGGCTTGTAAAAGAATTAAGGTTTAACTGTAATAGAATTAAAATAAAAACGTTTGAAACAGAATTAAATGCTAATTGAAAATATGGTAACTATTAAGTTGTGCTGCTAAACTGAATTAAGTAAAATAAGTTTATTCAGAATATGTTTTAAAGCTGTAACAACTCCCTTTAAAGGACAAAATTGCATAACTTTTCAATTGTTATGACTATTTTTTTCTTTAAAAATTAACCTTTTATTAGTATAGGTAGTAATAATCAAGCTTTTATTAGTATTATTAATTACTGTTCCTGGATAAGACCTCAGAAAGTAACAATATGTCAAATATGTGAATAAAAAGTATGGTTTTTGAAAAGAATTATGGTAGAGAGATAGTCAGAACAACAAAAGTAGTAGAATAGGTTTAGCATAATATTTACCACACCAGTTCCTTGACAATAGCCGATATCCGGGTAAAGCCAAGCGAGTCCCCTTAAAATTCTTCGTAAACGAGGAATTCCAGTACTATTCATATGAGAAAAGCATGCATTGCTCGGAAGGGTTCTCAAAAGATCCTGAAAAATCAAAGTAATATTCTTTAATTATAAAACATAAGCATAAAAATCTAACAAAAAATGTAATAATGGCAACATAAGTGCTTAATATAGCAATGTCTCACAGAAATTAAAATTAATTCATGAAATTAAAATTCTATAACAGTTTCAGATGCATATCTGTCATACTTCAGGTTTTAAGTCTTTATTTTTATATTCAGCAATAAAACTACTAAATTAAAGGCTGTTGTTACAAAACGGATGGTATGGGGATGATATATGGTATGTAAGTATGGGATAACTATATATTAGCAGTTTACACAAAAAAAGACTTCAAATTATCTCAGGTAGTAAGATATTGGTATGAATAATTTACAATAAAAGTCGGACTCCTTGTAAACTAAATTTTATAAGTTTAAACGACAAATTTAAAAGGTTAACACGTTTAGAATCATATGCTATAAAGAGTTTTTTTTTTTTTTAATAATCTGAAAATAATAATAATTAAGACACATTAAAATACTTTTCAGTAGCAAATTCTTTTACAACAACAGTTTGTAAGGCGCAAAGGATTTAGCAGCCAAATAAATCTTCTAATAAAATTAATGAGTTTTCTCAATACTCTGTCATAGTAAACCCCAATTTAATAAGCAATGTAACCCATTTTCTTCTCCATTTTAATTAAATGGGCAGAAACCAACCTAGGATTTCTATCTTGCTATTTTTGTGACGAATTTTACATTTAATCATCTGTCCTCTGCTGTGAAGTAAATAATTTGGGGGAAAACAAGGCAAACCTATATTTATTTATCATTTCACTACTAATTTTTGAATCTAGACCTGTCTTGTTCTAAACCCCTCGATAGAAGTCCTACTCAAATTTTTGTGAATAACTGCAGCTCAATCAAACATTTTGAGAAAAAATACAGTTTACTTAAAACTAAGTTTTTGATATAATGTTAAAAAAGTTCGCTTTTAACTTTAAATAGACAATAATATTCATGAAATAGTACTCATATTTAATACCAATACTTAACAAGTTGTTCCTGAAGCATGGTAGAAGTAATTTATTATTATAAAGAATTATTTTGGGAAATATTGCTCATTTATTAAAAAGATTTTTAAAAAAAAATTTGGGAAGGCTAACAATAATAAAAAAATGTACTTCTTATAAGATGAAATGGTAAGGAAAAACAGTTCAACTACTACAGTCTAGTCCATATAATGAACCTGCGATTAAGTGAACACTCGGTTATAGGGAATGTTTTCAGTGGTCTTGTCCAAACTGTTATTCAACTAATCCTGTTTCATACGATTATAGTGAGCAACTGATAAATCAACAGTTCGTTTACAGTGAACTGAAATTTCTTTTTTTGCAGTTAGTTAAATGAATGATACAAAATCTTTAATTTATGTGGTAAGTTGTAGTAAAAGTATATAACTATGACTTATAATTAAAAATGAAGTGATACACATTATAAGGAAGTGTTTAAGATGAGTCATTTCGATTAAATGAATAATGCTAGTTGTTTCAAAAACGGATCCACAGGAGCATGAATTGGTTTTCAAACGATTGGAATAATGTCTTTTTTTTCTTCGAAAATAATGAGAAACATGGATAATTTACTAATAAAAAACTTCAAAAGTGACGAAAATTGAAAAATTAAATGGCTAGAATTTTCTAGCAAATTTTTGTTACAGAGTGACAACAACTTCATTGAAAGGAAAATATTTCGAAAGTTTCCCATCCCGGAAATATTTCGCATTCCGATTAAAAATTTCATTATAAAAAGAAGTTTGATATAAGCAAATTTCTTTGAAAAGAGATTTAACATATTTAGTTTGTTAATAATTTATAAAGCAAATTACGTAATATTTCTATTACTATTTTTAACAATAGAACAAGATGTTTTTTCAAAGAATTTACATTTAGTAAACTATAATTTATAGTGGACTTATTGCTGCGGCCGCAGACAATTCACTATAGCAGAATCCAACTGTAATAGGATTCAAATGGAAAATCTCGAAAATACCATTACCATTTGAATTCTATTTCTGTTTTTTTTTCTATTACTATTCTTAAGGCCCTGATTTTGCTTGTAGGATTTCAATGTAAATGCCAGTAAACATTAGGGTAATAGAATAGAAATATAAACTTGAAAAATTAACCTCAAATTTTTCTATTTTTGAACACATCAAACAATTAATACCAGGATCAAACTTTAAGTTAGTCTAGGAGAATTTCAAACAAATAAAAACACAAAGTGATTGTTAAATTTTAAAAAAAATATATATTATTTATGTTCTTAAAAAAAATTACATTAACATCTTAACAATGCATAATTGAAACAATCATATTAATAAATACAGATTCCAAACAAATACATACTTTTTCTATTTGCTTTGATGTCATCACATGATCATTTGAACTTGCTTTCACAACATCTTTATAAGTTAAATTGCATGAAGTTTTCTTTTTCATCGCTCCAGACAATCTCAACCATAGCTGAGGCCTCAGTGAGTGTGGAATCCCCTGACGAATCATCGCACCAAGTTTGTCTGAACGTGATAAGTAAGCCTCCACCTTCAATAAAAACATTATAAGTTAGACCAACATGTTAGATCATAACCTACAACTACAACCGAAGCGGATTAGTAAATTAAACATTCATCAAATCATCAGCTTTAATAGGCATTCATTCTAATAAATCATTATTAATAAGTAAATTAAACATTTATTTAATGAAAGCAAGAAATAAATTAATCATCACTTAAGGCCAAATCAATTTTTAAAAAAAATGTAATTGTCAAACAATATTTCTCTGATGAATAAATCAAGTAAAATCAGTTATCCTGCAAGGAAGCAATAAGACCTTATCCCAAATTTGATATAAAAGACAATCAAGTTAAAAGTATTTTTTTTTAATACTGATTGCATTATTCTAAATAACTAACCTAACATATATTCCATACAAGTTTGCCTGAACAAGACAGTATTAATATAATCTTTAAAAATTAAATAAAAACTGCCTTCTTAATCTCATTATTATTAGTATTTCATAGTGTTCGTAAATAAGGTAGAGATTTTTAATTATAAAATTGTTCTTGTTATACATTAGCAGCTGTATAAGACACTTTATGATACTTTATTTCCAAACAATATGATATATATAAGCGAGAAAAATTTCAAAAAACTATAAAATTAAAAATATTTTTTAAATTAACAGAACAATAAAGCTATATGAATTGATAAGAACATTTGTCATTGAACAAACATTGAAAAAAAAATAGATTGAACAAACTTCAAAAAAAGACATTTCTAATATTACCTGAATATAGAATATTACCTGAATATATTACCTGAATATGAAAATAGAAAAGAGTTTTATTTTCTTATATTGATTGTGATTCATAAAAGTTTTTTATAGTTGTAAATAGCATTCTTAAAGTGTAGACAAATGAGCACACATGTTTGACAAAATTTCGTAAGTGATTAGATAGCAAAAGAAAGTTCTAACAATATCGAATTTACATAGTAAAGTAGATTTGAACAGTTTCGAAATAGTTAGTAACAGTTTTTAAATCATTAAAATACACATCTGTGAAGTATATCCTATTTTAAAAGTATAAATATAAATACATTAAAATCTTCAACAACAACAAAAAATCTAGAAAAATAAATAATGATTAATAATAAAAATTGCAAGGGTATTTTACTTTATCCCAAGTCAGATCTCCCACTTCATTATTATGAGTGAATTCTAAATAGGCAATCCACTGAAGACGATGTTGAGGATCTTCAACAAAAGGAATACTCAAAAGTTTACTAGAATTTTGTTCAGGACCATCTGCAATTGACAATATAAAAACAAATTACAAAATAATAAAAGAAATTTTTTGAGTATCAGACCAAGAGATATTTAAAAACGTTCAGGTATAACAAAATTAGTTGCTTTTAAAATATTCAGATCTTGTGAGTTTTATATCAAATACTGAACTAGTATTAATTTTTATTTCTGTGAAAATAGTTGCAAAAAAATCACATATCAAGGTCATTAATTAAGCCTTTTGTAATCTGAATGCTTCCAAGCAAAGATAATTTATATTGTTTATGTATTATTTATTCTAAAGGGAAATAGGGTATATAGGAAAACGTCCTTACAAAGATACTGGCCAACATGAAGATTAGTTTTGCATAAAAACTAAAAATCAAATTCAACTTTAAATTAATTTAGTGCATTCACAATACTTTAAATAACGTATTAAAATGATTTATGTCATTCACTACTGGATTTAAGTGATAAAAAATATTCTACGTTTTGATTATATATCTGACAAATCCTAATTTAAGTAATTAATAAGGACACAAAATTTTACTTCTTAACTTGGAGAGCTTTAATGCAGCGACCAAAATTAAAAAAATCTGAATTTACCTTACACAATAGCAAAAACACAAAATATGTCTAATTAGAAATTAAACACATTTTATTCAGTAGCTAAAATTGCGGCTAATTTAAATTTTTAAAATGCGTAGTGAGAAATATTTAACATTTTCTTAAATCCTTGACACTGAAAATTCTCTTTCAATTTAATGGAGGAAAAAAATACTGTTGCATCAAGTACTTTTTCACATATTGTCAAACAAAGTAAAACATAAGAAAAAGTAACAGTTTTAACAAGAGTTTTATTACTGATTTCTGCAACTGAATTGTTATCATTTGATTATGATAAATTAACAATTTCATTTACTTCAATTGCACAGATAGATAATATTTCATTAGAGGTGTCATAATCGCTGAATACAATAATTTTCTGGACAAGTTTTTATTTGAAATTACAATTGGACAAGTTTTAATTAAGTCAATTATTTGAAAAGCAAATCTAATTTGTTTAAATAATTCGTTAATTTAAGGTTTATCATTGATAAAATAAGGGGGTTTTACATTAAATTTAATAGGGGGAAAAGAAAAATTTGTTAAGTTGCAAAGTTTGATAAATTGTAGTTTGCTAAATTGTGACCTAACTAACTATATATATATTATTTGATCAATTTTACTTTTTACCATGACCCAACTTAAAGTAGTGGTCCAAAATAGTATATGTTTTGGAATTTTTATTATTCAGAAATGTTTGAATTTCAAAAGAAATTGAATGCTACATATGCTATTTTTAAAAAAATTCACGGTTTATTTATTATTTTTTTACAATTTAGAATTAATTCTTATACAAGTTTTTTCTTATCAAAATGTCAGATTTTCTTTTGAAAATTCCAGATAGAGTCCTAGATTTGACTTGAGCTTGTCCTTCAAAGAGAAGTTCTATTATCACAACATTTGATGTCACTAAATGTATAATTGCTCATACTTCTATTTTTTTTTAAAAAATCTATTTTATTTAGGGTGATGAAAAATCAAAATAAACAGAGGAGGTGCAGTCTTGTGGCACACTGCCACATTACAGTTCTGACTTACTTTCAGAAGACAGAGAAACTTTTGAGTCAAATACTGCCTTAAACTTGTAATGGCAAATAGCTTATTCTATAAAACTAAAATGCATTTGAATTGCATTAAAGTTAAACCTTTAACTCCAACCCCTTTCAGTCCAATGATAATAGTGCATTTAGCTGAACTATTTCAAACATAGCTTTCTAAAAAAGAATTTATCATAATAAGCTGGTATTATTTACTTCATTTAAAAAAATGGTATTATTTATTTCCTTTTTATAACTTTTAGAAAACTTTTGTTTTGTTTTAAAGTATAGAGGATTTTACTTAAAAACATTCCATATAATTGCATTCAAACAAATAATAAACTTAAGAATATTCATTTATCCAACTATTGAGCTAATTAAGAGCAAAATGCAATATAGAACACCAAACAATTTAAAAAAAACTAGCTATATCTATTAATTCATTATGTAGTCTCAATTTAAAACCCAGTTATCTCTAAAGATTATGTTAAAGTTTTCAAAGATATCTCATTTCAAAACCTATTGACAATAAATAACTGACAGCCTACTAAAAATGAATAGAAACAAATTTCATATATTCTCACAATTTGATACATTTTATTGATAATTATTGCTTCAGACAAAGTAAAATCTAATCAGTAAAAAAACATGAAACTTAGTTGATCATAGTTTACCTTCTTCATCTACACGGAATCCAAACTCATCAAAACGATAATCAGGGTGGCATTCAGAATCTTCAGGCTTGAAAATAATAAAAATTGTTTAAAACGTGAGTTACAATTACAGTCCAGGTTTGGAAATAATAAAAACTTTTCTAAATGTGAGACACAAATTAAAATTTGCTACATTATACATATTACAATACCTATCAATCTAGCAACTATTAATATTATCAAACTATATGCTTAGAGTTTATTTTTAATCAGACTTAATAAATGCTAGATTTCATTTAACAATTCAGACTTAAATTCTTAAAAGAAACTTTAAAAAAAAAACAAATTCTTTGCTTTATTACTGTTTTTGTGATATTTCTATTCACCAGCATTACATATAATAGCATAGGGGTCTGTGCAGGGTAAATGTATTACCGTTTAGAGGTACCTTCACAAATTCATCTTTAGGAAAAACGGTAGTTTCACAAATAAAAAAGTAAGTTCTCTTGCAAATTCCGTTCTCGTTGTTCTCTATGGAAAGGAGGAGCTTTTCTGCCAGCTGTCTTCTACGAAAAGGTAGCAAGTGTTTGGTCAGATAGATAGTGCAATATGGTATGTCTAACCATTAATTTATGCCATATCAAAGTGAGTTTTTTTTTCCGTGGAGTTTTTTAAAATGAAACGACGAGGCTCTCCTTCTATAAACTTTACAGGAAGTTGAAACTCAAACATCATCTTAAACACTATTGTAAGTTTATTCTAACATACCTTTATTTTTTTTATGAACCATTTTTTTCTCTGTGAAGCTTTTTTCTATATGATCCAGTTGAATGTTCACATAACTAAAAAAACTTTTAGTACTAGTTCTGTTAAATGAGCGCTTTTATTAAATTCAAGTTGAAATTTAACCGTGGATAATGATTTTTATGAATTTTGAAATTTGGATACAATTTTTAGCCCAAAATTTTACAATAGCAAAATTGTTTTTGTATATATGGGAAAAAATATATAGAAATTTACCAGTCATAAATGCTTTTCATTTTTAGTGACAATTTTTGAAAATACTTTCGTACTTTATCATATTTTCGTGTTGATTTTTTAATATAATTTTTAATTTTCACAAATTATGTCTAAATTTTCACAAAATAGGCACTTCTTCAAAAAACATAGACAGACTCCCGTAGTATTACATACTATCGACCTATATAGTATTACATACTATAGACCTATATAATTAAAATTGCTGAGATGACTGATAAAATAGTACTATCAATATAGATCAACAGTACTCTTATTCTTTAAAAAAGAATTCTTGATAGAAGCATTTAAAGGACACAATACCTTAATGAGAATGTCAACTTAAACAGGCTTTGATAAGATAGGACTTTGGTTACAGACACTGAGTAACAGAGTATAGATTTTAATAATTAAGAAAAGAACTTAGCTTATGAAGAAAGTCTTCTGACTGCATATAAAAAAAAATTTCTAATACTATCATTTATAAACATTACTATCTAAACATCTGCCATTCAAATCATTTCCATTTTTATAATACTAATAGTGTCCACATGGTAAATTGTACGAAGCAAAAAAAATTATATCAAAACTAGCTAAGCAGCTCAATTTACAAATTGCAAATTACATTATTTAATAAATATTGAATTTGAAACAAAATTATTTTTACAATTGTTTCCTTTATTCATACTTTTCTTTTTGAAAAAATAAATAGAGGCAATATGTTACATCCCTGTGGCAGAATTTTTTCTGACTTTCTGCGACTGACCTAACTAGAACCAATATCTTTCTGCAAGATATTTTTATCGTTATAAATGTATGTGTAATGAATTTATAATAATAGATGAAATTCGTGTTTATAAAATAAGTCTACATGCATAGAATAAAACTGTGTAGATTTTTTTTCTTAATTTCATAATATAAGTTCACATTTCTTAATAAGTTTAAATTGTTTAAGTATAAATTTGCATAATCTTCGATAATAACGAAAAGTTATAAATGTATAGATCTGCAGACAAAAATGCTTACTAGAGCATAAATAAAGATTACCCAGAACCTGTAATAAGATAGAACTTATAGAAATAGCTAAGAATGGACAANACCAAAATGTTTTGATAAATAATAAATGTGTTTTTTTTTTGTTATAGGTATTCTTTCTGATATTCTTGTACATTAAGTTATTCTTTGTCAGATAACTTACAGTACTTGTTTGATATAAAGTAATTTTATAAGCCTAATGGCATTTTAGCATTTTGCTAAAACTTTTTTTCAGATTTTAGTTTTTTTGCTAATGAATTTTTAGACTCAGCTTAAACCCTGGGCCTTCATAATACTTTACAGAGTGTATTAAAATTGTTTATGTCATTTATTACTGCATTTAAGTGATAAAAAATATCCTAAGTTTTGATTCGATCTCTGTCAGATCCTAATTTAAGTAATTAATAATGACACAAAATTTTATTTATTAAATTGGAGATCTTTAATGCAGCAACCAAAACAAATAAGAAAAATCTCAATTCCCCTTACACAATAGCAACAACACAAAAATATGTACAATTAGAAATTAAACACATTTTATTCAGTAGCTAAAATTGCAGTTAATTTAAATTTTCAAAATGCGTACTGAGAAATATTTAACGTTTTCTTCAATCCTTGACACAGAAAATTCTCTTTCAATTTAATGGATGAAAGAAAATACTTCATCATTTAAACACTGCTGCATCAAGTACTTTTTCAAATATTGTCAAACAAAGTAAAACATAACAAAAAGTAACAGTTTTAACAAGAGTTTTATTACTGATTTCTGCAACTGAATTGTTATCGTTTGATTAAGATAAATTAACAAATTCTTTTACTTCAATTGCACAGATAGACAATATATCATTAGAGGTGTCTTAATTGCGAAATTCAATCATATTCTGGACAAGTTATGGACTAGTTGGATATTGTGAAAATTTGAAAAGCAAATATAATCTGTTTATCCCATAAAAACGACGGGGTGAGGTTTCACCCTCTATTTCTCACTCCTGTGATATTTCTGGGATGGAGTGTACAGTAGTAACGCGCCAATAAGAATAAAACTAATTAATTTCTTTTGCCCGGAAAACATTTTATATCTCATTTTACACACCAGGATATTTCTAAGGTCATAGTGGAAGAGATGTAGGAAGGTTACTCGGTACTACTGTCCAGATTGCGACGTTGGCCTCTGTATCTCATGCTTTGAAATTTATCACACAAGAAAAAATTACTGATCTTTATGTATATCATACGTAAGTTTAATAAAATTTGTTTTTAATGTTTAAAACACATATTTTTCAAATTTTCCTAGCGTGCTGGAAAACCAACATTAAGTCATAGAAACCCTGAATGTTGGCTTTGTCTAAAAATTTAATTTTTCAAAATTTTAAGCTAAAAACATACACATATTTGTATATAATTTTCAGGGATAAAAAAATAGGCATTTTTATGATCGTTTTCTTGAAAATTAATTGATCGTTAGGGGTTTAAAATAGTGGTCTATATGTTTTGGAATTTTTATTATTCAGAAATGTTTGAATTTAAAAAGAAATTGAATGCTACATATGCTATTTTTTAAAAATTTCACAATTTATTTATTTTATTATTATTTTTTTATTTTACAATTTAGTGCAATTAATTTTTATTTTACAATTTTTACAATTAATTTTTTATTTTACAATTTATTTAATTTTTTCTTCCCATTAAAGTGTCAGATTTTCTTTTGAAAATTCCTGATTGTGTTCTAGATGTGACTTGAGCTTGTTCTTCAAAGAGAAATTCTATTATCACAACATTTGATGTCATTAAATGTATATTTTCTCATATTTGAAATGTAGATTCATCACTCTCATATTGAAGAGTGTTGAAAAACCAAAATAAGCAGAGGAGGAGCAGTCTTGTGGCACACTACCACATTACAGTTCTGACTTCCTTTTAATTAAAATTGCTGAGACAGAGAAACTTTTGAGTCAGGCATTAAACTTGTAATGGTAAATAGCCCATTCTATAAAACTAAAATGTATTTGAATTGCATAAAAGTTAAACCTTTAACTCCAATTCCCTTCAGTCCAATGATAATAGTGCATTTAGCTGAACTATTTCAAACATGGCTTTCTTGAAAACAATGCATCATAATTAGCTGGTATTTAAGGCCTGTTTACACGGTCCAATTTCTTGAATCCGAGAAATTGGACGGATTTCTCTGTCCAAGAAATTGGATGATTCGTTGACACTATCCAAGTTCTTGAATGTCGCTGATTCGTTGAAAGAAAAACTTGCGCATGCACATTGTTCATATTCAGCATTATAAAATAATACTTACATAAGTTTAAAATTACTAAATAAATTCAAATAAAATCATAATAACACAAATAAACCTCAACAGATCAATTTATTTGGACTAAAATATATGAAAACCCACAACAAAATGACATAATTTGCTGCCAGCTTGTTGACGTCACGAAACCTAAGACGCTGATTGGTTAAGGGGAAAAAAAACTTGAATGGAAAGTAGAACATGCTCTACTATCGTCCAAGAAGTTGGACCAAGTTCTTGGATGTTTGTTTACACGATCCAAGCTCAAAGCAAAACAAGTTTCCATCAATATCAATCAATCTCTGTCCAAGAAATTGGATTGTCTAAACAGGCCTTTACTTCATTAAAAAAAAACTGTTATTATTTATTTAATTTTTATAAGTTTTAGAAAACTTTGGTTTTGTTTTAAAGTATAGAGGATTTTATTTGAAAACATGTTATATAATTGCATTCAAACAATTAAAAAACTTAAGAATATCCATTTATTCAACTACTGAGATACTAATTAAGAGTAAAATGCAATATAGAACACCAAACAATTTAAAAAACTAGCTATATCTATTAAGTCATTATATAATCTCAATTTAAAACCCAGTTATCACTAAAGACTAACCATATTAAAGTTTTCAAAGATATCTCATTTCGAAACCTATTGACAACTGACAGCCTACTAAAAATATATAGAAACAAATTTCACAAAATCTCATAATTTTGATACATTTTATTGATAAGTTATTGCTTCACAAAGTATAATCAATTCAGTAAAAAAAAAGCATGAAACTTAGTTAATCATAGTTTACCTTCTTCATCTACACGAAATCCAAACTCATCAAAACGATAATCAGGGTGGCATTCAGAATCTTCAGGCTTGAAAATAATAAAAATTGTTTAAAATAAGAGTTACAATCAAATAAACATTTTAAAACAAAATACCTTCAATAATTATGGTTTTCAGACACAAATCAAAATTTTTATATTATAAATATTACAATTGTATCAATCTAGCAACTATTATTAACAAACTAAATGCTTAGAGTTTATTTTTAATAAATGTTGGATTTTATTTAACAATTCAGACTTAAATTTTTAAAAGAAACTTTTAAAAAAATTCTTTGCTTAATTACTGTTTTTGTGATATTTCTATTCACCGGCATTACATATAATAGCATTAGATATTATAGATCTATATAATTAAAATTGCTGAGATGACTGATCAAATAGTACAATCAATGTACTCTTATTCTTTAGAAAAGAATTTGTGATACGAGCGTTTAAAGGACACAATACGGCAATGAGAAAGTCAACTTAAACAGGCTTTGATAATATACGACTTTGGCTACAGACACTGAGTAACAGAATATAGGCTTTAATAATTAATAAAAAAATCTTAGCTAATGAAGAAACTTTTCTGAAAGCATATAATTAATTTTTTCCAACACTATCATTTATAAACATTACTATCTTAACATCTGCCATTCAAATCAGTTCCCTTTTCATAATACAATCAGCTGTTACTAATATTGTCTACATAGTAAATTGAACAGAGCAGAAAAAATTATATCAAGCCAAGCTGCTTAATTCACAAACTGAAAATTACATTATTTAATAAATATTGAGTATGGAGCAAAATTATTTTTACAATTGTTTCCTTTATTCATACTTTTCTTTTTGGAAAAATAAATAGCAGCAATACTTTACATAAAATTTTTTTTCTTTAATTCAGAATTAACACTAAGATTTTTTTTTAAATTTAATAATTTGAAGATTACTAGGAATATGCAGTAAAAAAAAATCGAACATCAACAATACCCCACTGCTTATTCTAATACAACATATAGATAAATGTTGAATAACTAAAAAAACTAGACTCAGATGCATCAGCACACCACAACTGCATAAAAAGCTACTTTCAATCACAAACAAACATCTGACATTTTATACTATTTTTAAATGTTAAATTGTTTTAATTGTGTTAATACAATTTGTTTAAAATAGTTTTGAACAAATAAGTGTTGATTATTAGTGAAAAAGTGTGACATTCCATGGAAAATTCCAATACTGGCAAGCTTTTTATTTCTGTCTATTAACCAGTTAAATAGAACATTATATATAATGAAGAAATATTTTTTCATTTATAAAACAATTACTAAATTTAAAATAATTTTTTTACCTGAGCTAAAGTTGCTAATAAATCTTGTGGCCACATAGAAGGAGTCAAAGCAGAGAAAGGTCCCCCAGGTGCAGGAGAATAGCCTTGACCACTGGAAGGAGAACCAAACAAGTTGGCACGAATACTGATTGCTTCACTGATGTCATCCCCATATGGATCATCTTCGTCTTCTGATAATGTTTCCACTAAAATTACATTATTATTGAATTAAAATCATTAATAAGTGAAAAATAAAAACACTTTATAAGCATAAAATAAAATATATATTATTATTCTACCACAATAGAAATCCCTAATTATTCTACCTATCCAATTTTTATAAAATAAATTTTAAAACTACCTAATAATAAAAACTTCTTGCGCCTCCTCAAGTTCATGTTAACAAGGTTTAACGATATAATAAAAAAGTTTGTGAATATATTAACCCTCTTGACATTCCTGTAGGGAAGATTAAAAGAAAGGAAAAATATAGACTCATGTACTTAAAGGCAAATTTCTTGAGAAGTTAAATTATAAGGAAGGGTGAATAAAATTCAAGAAAAATAAATTAAAATATTATTAACAAACTCTTCCAATATAATCATCAATGCTACAAGAATATTTTCTCCTCACCCTTTATTAAAATTACTTATTTTGAGATAGTAACGAATATTGTTTGCAATTTTCCTTGGAATAAAAATTTATTAGTTTCATTAATGTTTGAACTTAAAAATGGTCATTATGTTATTTTGATTGTTTTGGGCAATTACTCTCCAAGTCATATTCAGAGACATTTATAAAATGAAATCACTGAGTCAACCATCAAATATTATATGCTCATTTTAGAAAATAAATAAACAAATAAAAATAGCCAATTCCAATAATGTTTTGGCTTATTTTTCTTTGCCAAAAAACCAACAGCTGATATAGTACTGATTATAAGACTCCAAAGTCATTTGACACTTAGTGTTAGCCTCACAAAGCAAAAGCACTAAACAGAAGTAGTAGATCACTGTAATCGTTCATACCATATAAATTTTACATTTTTATACTTAATAACTGAACCAGAAGTTCAGTAGGAAAAATGTTTATGAATCTTGCATCATGAGTTTGAGCTGATCTAAAATCTTTTTTCAATAAACAAACCTAATAAACATATTAAGACGATAAACAAATAAGCTCCAACTAAATAAACCATAAAAAAGTATTTCATAAAAACCTTTTTTTAAACTAATTATTAAAATATTTAATAAACAATTGAAAGATTCATGAATATATGATTATGAAGAATAAAAAAGAATAATAAGATGAAAATTTCAAATATGCTTAATACTTAGTTTTACAATTGACCTTCATACATATTTCACAACTTAACATGAAAATAGATATTTTACATACCTAAATGCTAATTTGATAGTACATGTAAAATAGTAATTTACCACAAGGCTTATTAGTGCAAATGAAAATATCACACATGACATTATTTACATTAATGTTAGAATTTATAGTTATTATCAACTGTTTTTAACAAAATAATTTTTATCTATTGAATAAATACAAATTTTAATATAAATGAGTAGGAGAAGGAATAAAAAGGAATAAAAGGAAAAGAATGAGGAGAAGGAATAAAAATGACAAATAGGCTGCATAAATTTAAACACATTAAATATTAGAGAAGTTTTAGTATTAATGATTCCAAAATATGTTAATAATATTTTTAAAAAATTTTAATTTTTTATTTTAACAAAATAGAGTTTTAAATATATAACAATATTCTTGTAAATATAATACAGCATTAAACATAAAAATTGAAAATATTTTAAATAGCTTATTTTTAAGAAATTTAAAAAAAAAAAAAAAAAAAAAATGTGATACTGTACAATTTGTGTATACTGATGACAGAAAAAAAATGAAAAAAAAAAAAAAATTCAGACAAGCACCTGATTAATTTACGCCGTCATTATATACATTATATAGCAACAAAATGGATCGTTAATAAGATGGGAAAAAAAGTTGAGATAGAAACTTTTGATCTAAATTGATTCAATAATTGCATTATTAAATTTTAACTAACAAAATATGGAGTTGATGATCATCTATTTTATTTTAACTTTCTTTTAAAGACGTGACATAACCTCAGCTTTGTTTATTAATTTATTTCATATAGAAATTTTTATAGAACCAGAATGATATGTAAACATTTAACATTAAGTGATGCAGATTCACACTAGCAATTAAATTCAAAAGTGAAAAAATCTTATGAGAACATTTAATATTTTTTAATTACTGTTACATTTAAACTATAAGTATTTATTAATCATAGAAAATTAAAATATAAAAAAATATTTTCAGCAAAAAAACAAGCTTGGTTTTTTTTTTAAAAAAAAACTGTTTGGTTTATAGTACACATATGATCGCTTGAAACTTTTAAATACAACTTTCAAATAATGCATCCAATATTCTAACATTCAATGCATTAATTAATTAGTGTTACATTCTTTCAATCACTAAGAAATGTTGACAACAAATATTTTAATATAAACTAAAGTAAAAATAATCTGATGATATATATAGAAACTAGGAGGCTTCGCCCCCTGCTCGCTGGCGCTCGCCAACCCCCGGAACTGCTTTCGCAGTTCATTTCGGATTGCTTCGCAATCCGATGCTCACTCATTGGATACGTTCTTAACGTCTAGCTTTTGTATACTTTTTTGAACACTGAAGTTCCGAAAACTTTTCACTGTAGAAAATTCTAAACCTGTGCATTTCAATATTAATTTGAAATTGCAAACAGTTCGCATAATTTTTTTAATTACACTATTCTAAATTTCAGTTGTTGAGAAAAGTAACTGTTGTAAGTTTTGTTTTAAAGTCTTTCCCACCAGAGGGCTAAAACCATGCGTTGTAAAACAATATGAAATAGTACTAAACGCCGGATGTAAAGCATCGGCTTCGATGAAGATAAATTTGTAAAAATTTTTTTGATAATTCACCCGATTAGCCATATGATGCTCACTACGTGCTCTTGCACGCTGAAGCCTATCAATTAAAACGTATTAGCGTTTTATATAATGTAGATTAGCCATATGATGCTCACTATGTGATCTTGTGCGCCCAATCCTATCAATTAAAAATGAAAACTGTTACCAACGCGAGAAAAGAAATATCATCGGTTTTATTGATACTGTCAGAAAAAGGAAGATGAGTTACGTTAATTTTAACAAAACTTAATACATTTACATAGATAAAGAACATACATATATTTCTTAATATTAAAAGGCCTTAACTAATCATATCCACTGTTAATTGAAAAATAAAGAAATTATATACATGCTTGATTTACTCATTACCATTCTACAACGTACCTTATTCAAATGCCTAATGAGATAGAAGTAACTTTAAAAGTTTTTCCTGTCTAAGGAGCTATTAGCTTACAATATTTATAACAGATGAATAGATTAATATTATTATTTGATGGCAACAAATATGAAGGTGTTTATTCCTTTCTATGTTGAAATACACATTACAAGATTAGCTTTTGACCCTGATAGCAAAATTGAAGTGCTACCTTAATAAATCCAAAATATTATTATTGTAAAAATTTTAGGTACTGAATCTAACATTCATATGCAGTCAAATTTACAAGTATAAGGTATTAAAAAAAATGGTATAAAGCTCTAAAAAGTTAAGCCTGTAATCAATGTATTTAGAGTATTAATGATACTAAAAAAATGGAATAAACCCCAAAAAAGTTAAACCTGTAATCAAGTAAGGAAATCGTATTGTTTATTATTTGCAGAAATTGTTTTAATTCAGCTTTATAAATTTTACTGGAAAAGGTTTAAAAGTGTTTCTGTTTCTTTCTTTTTTTAAAAAAAAAATCAATGGTAAGAAAAAAAAATCATCAATTTTCTCTCATTTATTTGTTCGCTTTTTAAAAAATAAAAAGAATTAAAATAATCTACATGATTCTACATAAGGGATTTTGACACAAATAAAAATAAAATATATGTTAAGTAACTCAATTGTTACTTCATTTATTTCACCATGAGTAAAAAATTAAGTCTCACAAAAATTTTCAAAACGAAAAATGTTTAAAAAAAATTATTATTATCAGGGGTCTGTTTATAAGAAATTTGGGACCATTAACGGACCCTTCACAAAATATCTTTTCATAGAAACGGACCCTTCACAAAATAATTCAACTCTTAATCGAACCCTTCACAAATTTTTTTCTCATTATTGTTTTGTTAATGGAATAAACCCTTCCCCTGGGAGGGGGGGGGGTGTCTGAAAGACGGTTCGAGACAAACTAAGTTTCCCTAAGTTTAAATTCTAAATGTAGTAATCTAAGAAAATATTTCTACTTTTACAAACATTGTGTGCGCATTTTTTTACAATGTGTGCGTATAATTTTTTAGTCAATAAATAATTGATCAATTAATATTTATTCATAAAATTAATTAATAGAAGATTATGCAAATAAAATTAATTTCTAGCAATTTTTTAAATAAAATATTATAAATTTGTTTAAGTTTGCTTAATGCGTAACACATTAAAAGTGATATATTACTAAGTTGTGCTATTTAAAATATGTCAATTGAAATTATTAATAATGTGAGTGATTTTGTTTCTATTATTCATCCGAAATGAATATTCTGTGTTGTACATTAGAGGCTAAATACCAAATATTTGTATGCTGCATCTCTAGTTTAGTAGCAGCAATTGTTGAGCAGAATCTTGTATCTATTGACAATTTAAAAACTTCTTAAAAAAGATTTTTAGCAATAACAGGACCCTATCTGCACAAATTCACAAAAGCAGGACCCTGATTGAAAGAATTTGACTTAACGCTTATTTTATATTCACAAATTATGAATAGTTTTATACAATTTTGCAAAAAAAAAAGGACCTTTCACAAAATGTCTGGACAAACCCCTGATTATAAGATGAGCACAATCCATTGTAATTCATTTAATAGTGAAAAAATATAGCGTTTTGTGAAGCCACGTATCATCCCAATTACATGTATCTATAGTTTTTTAATAAGTTAATCATCTTAAATTCCAGAAAAAATAAATATTTAATTAGATTAAGCAACAAACCTGCAGTGTTTCTGCCACTGTATCCTTCAGGGGATTTTCCAAAAACAGCTCGAGCTAATTCCATTTAGACAATTCACAATTAACTTCAAAACTATCTGGATCCACACTAGAAATTACAAAACATTTTAGCCAAATCCTACTATTACAAACTAAAATAAAATTGCTTCAAAAAATCTAATGGCAAAGGATTCAATAAATTATGTGATTTTTTCGTCACAAAAATAATATTTCAAAAATTGGATCGCCTACACATTTTAAAATAATCGATCTGTCAATATATCAAACATAAATGACATACCATAGATTTAAATATAATGACAACCAATATGCGGAAAAAAAAGTTTGAAGTCGCTAATCATGCTTGAAAATACAATTAATAGATGGAAAATATTAATCTTTGCAATTCAAAATATTTACAAAAAAGGAAACTAAACTACCAGATGTTAAAGTTTTCTGCTTTTGGAAGTTACAGTTACCAATGAGTTAGAGTAACATTTCAGATTTGGTTCTTATTTCCACTGAAACTTTGAATGGAGCATTCTCACTAATTGCAATTCGGACTGATGCATTAACCTGGCAAGCGTTTGCGTACGGTGCCGAGTAAAGGGGGCTCCAAAGTGTGGTTGTTGTTGTAGCTGTTGTTAATTTACGTCGCACTAGAGCTGCACAATGGGCTATTGGCGACGGTGTGGGAAACATCCCTGAGGATGATCCGAAGACATGCCATCACACTTTTGATCCTCTGCGGAGGGGATGGCACTCCCGCTTCGGTAGCCCTACGACCTGCACGCGAAGTCGAGTACTTTACGGTAGAACAGTTTAACGAGGACCAATACCGCACACCCTCGGTCCCTACGCAGGCTGATCCAAGTGGGCACCCACCCGCAAACTGACCGCAGCCAGTGAGCTTGACTTCGGTGATCTGCTGGGAACCGTGTCTTAACGATCAGTCCACTGCGGGACGCCAAAGTGTGGTAAGGCTAGATTAAAAGAAAAAGCTTTTTAAGATCTTTTTTTTCTGTCTAAAAGCCTTTCTCTCTCGCTTGCTTGTTGAAAATAACAGTTAAAACACGCCTAGTTTCCTAAAATAAAATGTTGAGATTAATCTAATATTTTTGCAACCAAATAACCCTACAAACTGTTAACATTCCTTAAGGAATGCTAACAGTTTGTAGAGTTATTTGGATAATACTTTTAATCATATTTTAATACATTATTTTTTTAATACATTATCACTTTTCATCAGTGCCAATGGTGATAATTTACAATCTGCAAATACTAATGACGGTTAAAAAATTGAGTTAAATATTGAGTTTGAATGTTGAGTTTTTCTTGAATGTTCTTCAAGAAAACCTTTTTAGGGCGGAGGAAAATTTTAGTTGCTTTGTAATTTTACCTCCCACTAAGTCTTAAGAAAAATTTGTTTTACGAAGGTAGCTGCTTTTTTGTAAAGAAAAAATAGAAAATTGTAAATATTGTAATATTGAATTATTCACGGTGTATTATTGAATTATTCACGAAAATCATTGATACAAAATTAATATGAAAAATGAATAGACGATAAGTGGTTTCTATTTTGTCACAAAAATTAACAAATTACTTTGATAGAAGAAGGGACTAACAGACAGGTTTTGAATTTCTTAATATACAGTGCTTTTTAAGAAAGCATCCATCTCAAATTGTAAAAGTATATCAACAATTGCAGGTTTTAGTTGATCTTAGATTCATTTTTAAAGCAAATACAATATTGATTACTCTCCTTCAGTTAATGTATTGTTTTGTATAATGTATTAATGTATTTGTTTTATAATTATTTTATTTTAACAGTACATGATTTTTTTTAAATGTTTTAATTTAAAGTAAAAATAAAATAAAAAATCATACAATTATTTTCCTTTTAATTAGTATAAAATAATCTAAACTTGTAAGTTTTTCTTTTATTTTTATATTGTTTTATTTATTTATTTTTAAGATTCCTCATTCTATTTCTTTATATATTTTTTTACTTTTTGGTGACTTAAAATATTTCTAATTTAAATTAAAATCATTAGGTAATTATTCTTTAAATTTATCCGATAAATTTGTTAAAACAGACTTCGAAAAGATAATATATATTGCCATTTCATTGATTTAAGGTTGACTTTCATTGTTGTCTTCTTAATTCCTTTTTTTAACTTAGTTTTTTTTTCCTTGTTAATAATTATTTCAATACTAAAATTATATCAAATTTGAAAATTATTATATTGTTCGTTTCCTCTCCTCTCGGTAAATTATAATCTTCAGTATATGATATTTTTTTTTAAAAAAAAAGTTCGAAATACTTTCTTTTTTCTTTTTTAAATTTAATGATTACATTTATATTTCAGTTAGCTTATTTTTGTTTCTTGTTGTTTTTAATACTAATTTTAAAATGTCTTAAATATTGAAAAATAAAAAATTACATCACTGTATTTAGTCTCTTTTTTCTGATATCGAATCAAAATTGTTTAATATTTTTGACGTTGAAAGTTTATGTTTCAGTTTTATTATGATTTTCAATTTTTAAGTTTCAGTGATTTTCTGAGTCTTTTTTGCGAATATATTATATGAACCGGAAAGCAATACCGTTTTTATTACATTAAATTAGAAAATATATTTTTACAAGTGTTTTGTTTTAATCAATGATGTAAATATGCGTGTCATTATTAGAAACCTTTTTTTTTTATCAACCCTGCAAAATTTAAATCCCGGTTTAATAAACATCAGTTGAAGTTCTATGCAAATTTCAGGAGCAGACCTTTTAAAATGTTAGAGTGATAAGAATATATGGAAATCCGAGGGAGTAAGATTGGGCAATTATGACGGGTGGTTGAAGTACCCCTACCTTTATTCATTAAATTTTTAATGATAACTCAAGACCGCACTGTGTAAAACAATTCCTAAAAAAAATATATGAATTGGGATTTGAGTTCTCCTCTCACCCACCATATTTACCCGACATTGCACCATCAAATTTTTATACATTCTGATCTCTACAACATTTTCTGCACGATAAAACTTTTGAAGAATCTTAAGGATGATATTCAAAATGCCTTATTTATTTTGCTTAAGAAACAATTGGTTTTTATGAATCTGGCATTTAATTTTTTACGCTAGATGACAGAAGGCTTATGATGACGTTGGTGCATAATTAATAATTAAAATCTGTTAACTGATTAAAATAGGTACCTAGAAAATACGCGACTATTTTTGAACGTCTGAACCATGTCGACTGTTATTTCCAATTTGTGATTTTTCGAAACGAATGAAGATTTTAATCAATATCTTACCGTTACCGATTTAGTTTCTTGAGATTATTTATTTAACTAACTATATTAATTTCTCTCAATTTCTATTAAGTTTGTTGGAAGAGTAAAACAAATATTTTTTTTTCGATCTTAGGTTTTCCCTCTTAAAATTAAATATGCTGAATGTTTTTTATATGTGAGAGAAATGTATTTATTTTATTTACTGAACACAAAAAATAAACGAACCACGCTGCATAACTTTTGATCTTGTGATCGGATCCTCACGTTCTAAAACTCAATCTTAATAAATCGAGAGGGTAACCGCAAATATGCTAATTAATTAGAGTAAACGCTATTTTAAGTTACGAAATCAGTCAAAAAAACGTACTTTCTCTTCTTTGTACTTCTGAATAAACATACCTTTCTTTCTTTTCTTTTTTTTGGATGGATTTGTATTTCTGACACCCAAAATGTAGGGTTAGTTCAGGAGAGTGGACCTAAGTTTGAACCCATTGATGTCAATTTTATGTTTTGCGTATTTCGCTATATCTCAAGAACTTTTCAGGCACATTGAAAAACTTTTTAACACAGTTATAAAATTTATTTATCCATGGATAAATAATTTCATGCAAGATATATCTTTAAGTAAATATTTATTATTTTTATTGTTTTATTTAATAATAATCGAAATTTTAAATTGAAATGTAAGGTATACATTTTTACATAACTTTAAAGAATGCAATTTTGAATTGCAAAATACAAAATTAGAACGAAATCGAATTTTGAAAGTGTCGAATTTTTTGAAAGTCTTGATTAAACTATTGGGACCATATTTCGTTGAAAAAAAAGGTATATTTATTTAGAGAAAGTACGTTTTTGTGACTGATGTAACTTAAACTTTCGTAACTTAAACTATCATTTATCATTTTATTATTTAGCACATTTGAGATTACCTCATCTAACCATTTATATTGAGTCCTATTTTTATTAAATTTATATTTTTTAGAATTCATCTCGAAAAGAAAGTCAAAAAATGCACGAATTGTAGGTCTTAAGTTAATGTTTGAGCCTTGAAATAGCAGAAACTTCATTACAAACAAAACAAATATTAATTAGAGGAGGCAATACTAAAAACAACAAAACTAGTTCTATCGGTCAGGTAAAATTTGAAGGTGTTTTTAATAATCTTCTTTTAACTCCTCTAAATTTTCGAAGGAAATTAAACAGGTTTATTATGCTTTTAATCTCGCCTTCATCATCAATGATTTGGCTTTGGTAACGTTTTAATTTTCTTTTTTCCGAGACTATACATTTATTTGGGTCTCTATGTTTCTATTTTTTATTTTAATTTCAAGAACAAAGAATTTTAATGAACAAAGACTTTAAAATATTGCAAATAATGGGGACTATAAAGCTGGTATACATCAGAAAAAAGGCAAATTGACCATTTTTGTTTACTAAATAAGTAAATCACCAAACCAAAAATAACAATAAAAATATAAATATAACTATATTAAAGGAAACTATTAAGAGGAACAGTCATTTACATATTTTAAGTTCAAAATTTCTAGTGCAAAAGAAATTTTAAGTTTTTATTTTAATTTCTTTATTTCACAAATTGCGTAGGAATTATTTTCGTTCTACGGATCTTTATATGGGTTGAATTAAAACATTTATAAATTGAAATCTTATTAGTATACTTTTGTATTTTTCATTTTATGAACTTAAAGAGAATTTATCTTATAATCCTCGTCTTCAGCTTTTCTCTATTCATCCCTTAGCGGTCAGTTTTCAGGTTAACGCATGTACCTCGATTCCGAAGCATGTTGATGCTCTTTTCTGCGTCAATTTATTCATATTTCAGCTTAATTTTTGTACTTGTTTTTATTATTTCATTTTGTTTGATAGCGTAAATAAGCGTGTTAATGCAATACCTTCTAGAAGAAAGCCACAGCACAGGTTACCATGAATAAAAAATTTTATCATTTAATTGTCCTACCGCAATGACAGCTTTCGTATTTTTGCCCACTGATCAGCTTAGTAGCCCGAATGTAGTGATATCTTTCTTATTTTCCTCCACTGCGCAGTTTATGTTCATTACGATGGACAACTAAATTATTTCGTGCTGAGGTCTTCCCACTTTTAGGAGGCGTTGGTTAATGCCATAGAAGATTTCAATTCTTTGCTATTAACCCTTTGACACAGATGGAACTCCGGTATCCCTTATACATATATATCATAAACATATATTACAAGCAAAAATATATTTTGGTATATTTTAAGTTTAAAAAAACATTCTTATAGTAACTAAAATTTTTTTAGATTACCGGAATTATAGTTGTATTAAAATATAAAATCCAAAAAAAGTAGCTAAATTTTTTTCTTTCTATCTCCTTTCAATTTAAAAATTGTACCAATAAATGATTTTGCATGTTAATTAAGTTTCAAAGATGATTGCTTTCCTTAGATCTAATTAACACCAAATAAGTACAAATTGAAAAAAAATTATTGAGCTGTGTTTAGAAAATTTTACCTTTAACGCAAAAAAAGACACCATACAAAATAATGAAAAAAGAATGAAAAATATGTTTAATAAAAATTCGGAAGTCGAAGAATTAAGCTCTTAACTTAATTAAATATAATTATCTTGGTTATTTAAACAATTTATACGAAATATGTGACATAGAAACCTAATAAATTGGTACTTAATGTTTGTTCTTAAGCAATTGAAATTCTGACCATCCTTGTTAATTCAAGAATAATAGATTTTTTACTAGACGAAGAAAAATCATCATTGTTGATTGTTATTATTATTTGTGATTTATCATTGTATTCAAGTCCCCCATTATTTTAATTACCTTTGCATTCTTCTAATCAACATTCAGTTTTCGGTTTTAGTGAAGATGGTTCAGAAGCACAATCTTGGTACTTTTGATTACATTATTATTTGCCTTTCCCTAATTATTTCAGCAGTTATTGGAATTGCTGCAAAATATTATGGAGGTAAACAAAAAACTGCCAGAGAGTATCTATTGGCGGGAAAAAATATGGCCAAATTTCCTGTGATATTTTCAATTGTTGTGACGCTAGTATCGGCGTTTTCAATACTTGCAGTACCGGTTGAGGTTTACAGATTTGGTATTGGCATATATATTTGCATATTCATGATACCAATTGGAATGTTTTTAGCTTCTGTCGTTCTTATTCCTGTGTATTTTCAGTGTGGAGTGTCTACTGTAACAGAGGTAATCGAGTTTTGTTAAATTTATATTTTTATCGGATAAAAATGTTTTGTTGTATTTCTTAGTATCTTATAAAACACATCGTTTAAAGCGTGATAACAGGCTCATATTCTATTGCCAATAACACTGCTGTCGGTGTGGTGTCTTTAAGGCAAAGGAGGTGTGGTTCTTGCTTTCCAGTGGAGCCATTTATGGAACAGAGTTAGATTTCTGCACACACATGTCACAGCCTGTTTATAGGGCTGATCCAGTCATTCACCCAAAGATCGTAATTTTGACCTTAACCAGAGAACGATGAATCTCCAATTCAGTACTCCTAGAGATATGATTTGTTATGGGAACACAGAGGACTTTGTTACCCCGTCAGATTTAACGTGCAGCAGTCATCCTTCATTGCACAGGGGGTCATCGGTTGGCGAGGATCGAACTCGCACCTTTCGGACACGGGCTCAACAATGAGGTACAACAAACAAGGCTGAGATAGTACGATGAACTAGAAAATTAAGTTAATTTAGATCTATAAATACTAACTTGTTAAAAATACCAAGTGGCTCAGTCTGCAGCTCGCAGATTTGCAGCAACAGATTGAATATGGACTTACTGAAAGGGCTATTTTTAATTTTAATCGTTGAGTGTGATTTGGAGCTAGACTTTAGGCTCATGACCAAAAGGTCATGTGTTTGGTCCTCACTGGCCGAAGACTTCCCGTGTATTAAATGATGACGGGTGTATATCAAATCTGTCGGAATCACAAAAGCTTTGTTCCCATAAAAAATCATTCGTCTAGGGATACTGAATTTAAGATTGATCGTTCTCCGATTCAGGTAAACATTACGATTTATTGATGAATGTATGAATCGGTCCGCCCTTTAAACGGACATTGACGTTTGTGTGACTGATTGTTGTTCATTTACGTCGCACTAGAGCTGCACAATGGGCTATTGGCGACGGTCTGGGAAACATGCCTGAGGATGATCCGAAGACGTGCCATCACAATTTTGATCCTCTACAGAGGGAATGGCACCGCCGCTTCGGTAGCCCAACGACCTGCACGCGAAGTGGAGCACTTTACGGTAGCACAGTTTAACGAGGACCAATACCGAACACCCTCAGTCCCTACGCAGACTGATCCTTCGTGTGGCTGAAGTCTTACTCTTCGCCATAGATGAACTGAAAAACAAGAAACGCACCCTCTGACTGAAATTCACTGGTTTCAAAAAGCAGGATTGCTGAGATTAGCAATCAGCATTAGAAATAACAACAATCTAAAGTATAACTATATAATTTTAATTTTGAACTCAGTAGTGGTGAATGCTAACTCTGCTCTCAAACAATCTGCTAAAGAATTAGCTAGGTTATTAGTTTTATGTTTTTACCCAGATTGATAGCGTTTTAAGCCGTAACGTATTTGTGACAGTTGACGCGATTTGGTTAAAATCCTTATTTTGATAGAATGAACTTCAAAAAACGTGTTTTACTTTGCTTGTGAAGTGTGTTTGTGACATTTTAATAACATCCATTTGAATTTGTACTTCCAAACATATTTTTTTTTATAAATGTTATTCTGAGGTTAAATTAAAACTTAAATATACTCAACTACTTCTAAATTAACTTACAAGTTGCTCTTTTCTTAAATTTTATAGTTTCTAGAGATGCGGTATGGAAACATAATAAGATACATGGTATCCGTAGTTTTCCTGATTCAGATGGTAAGTGTTACTTGATAATGATAACATAGTTGTCATAAGTTATTTATTACACTAATATATCCCCCCCCCCTGTTTCATGCAGATGTCTTTCATAGCGATAGCTCTCTATGGTGCTGTTTTAGCACTCAGCGCAGTCACGAATTTGTCATTGGAAATGTCTATTGTATCATTAGGAGCTGTTTGTGCTTTGTATTGTTCAGTGGTGAGTAACTAGAGAGATTTTGCATTGCATTTGTCTTCTGCTTAGATAACTTTTTATTCTACCGCTTACAAGGGAAATACTCAATTCGATAATTTCGATAAAAGCATAGTTAAGCTTAAATGAAAGAATCAGATCTGCTCCCAGACGAAAATATGTCCACTTAAAGTTTCCGTTCATTTACTTTTAAACTAATAAAAACTTTCCGGCTGATGTGTATTCCTGGTGTAACAGTTGGCCCGTGAAGTTGTAAATTAGTTAAAATAGCTTAGTCAACTGATGGTTTCAGCTAATGCTTTAAGAAGGCTTTAGTAAAATGACATGATAAAATGGCTTTGAAAGTTATGATTGGAGTATGGAAGCATTTTGTTGTAAAAGTTTTCTATGAACTTTTTTGCTGAAACATACGAAAAGTTTAAAAAAAAAGTTTTAAATATAGTTCAAAGTTTGCATAGTAAACGAAAACATGGTTTTACCTTGCGCTTTTAAAAGGTTTCAGAAAAATGACAAAATAAAATGGCTCATACAGGCGATATTATGGTTATGGGATGATATAGTTGGTTACAATTATGAACTGAACTTTATTTTGCATTTATACATTTCCATGGAGCTAAACATAGTTTAGAAAAATTTTATTTTTAAAAGAATTCAAAGTAGAGTAATAATTGTATATTTTATGATTAATTTTTCCGAGTATGCATACTGTTTTAGGGAGGATTAAAAGCTGTTTTATGGGCTGATGTTTTCCAAGCCACTCTCATGTTTATTTGCGTGTTTTCAATCTATACAACTGGAATCAGAGATGGAGGTGGCATTTCTAAAATTTATCAGCAAGCAAAAGAAGGACAAAGATTGGTTTTGTTTGAGTAAGTATATATTTACAATTTCGTTTTAATTCAAAAATTTTTGCTGATAACAATTTATCGGATCATTTCTTTCCTTTAGCTGGAATTACGAAATTTTAAAGTAGAAAGTCTTCATATTTTGTAAACCATATCTGGGTTACCCAAATAAATTAGCTGTTTGCCATCCAGTGAATTAATTATTTAGAAACTGGTAGGTAATAATTAGGATGTGGTGCTTTAGTAAAAAAGAACTGAAGTAGGCCGGGAGAGCCTGGTCGGTAGGGCGCTAGGCCCATGTCCGAGAGCTCGCGTCGAACCCTGCCGGCTGAAGACTCCGCATGTAGTTGGTGACTGATGCACGTTAAATTCCGTCAAGTCGCAAAGTCCTCCATGTTCCCATAACAAATCAATACCTATGGGGGTACTGGATCGATCATTCTCTGATTCAGGTCAAAATTACGATCTGTGGATGAATGATTGGATGTATGAATGAGTCCGACTTGGGTGTGACGTACGATGTGGAGGAAGTCGGATTCTTGGCCATAGATGGCGCTACTGAAAAACAAAAAACGCACTCTCTGCCTTAAAATTGCTCGTCCTTTGCCAAGCAGGCTTGTTAATGTGGCAAGTGGAATTAGAAACAACAACAACAAAAGAAATATAGTTTTTTTGAAAGGTATACTAATGAAGATTGTTGAGTTTAAAGTCAATGTCTATAGATGCTGGACGCTATGGTCTGAAACGGTTATTTTCGAGTTTGGCAATTTGTTTAATCACGGGTGATAACACATTCATTCTATTCAGCTAGCACTTGACATCTATCATTACAATCGTAAAATGTGCATCGTTAAGGAATTTAAATTTTGGTAAACCTTAATACTGTTTAAATTTGAAGCAAATTTCATAAGTTTCTTAGTTAAATAATATTAACCGAACAAATCAATCGCTCTTTAATTTTATTTTATTGTACTATGGTTATTACTGTAAGGAAACATAGCTATGATAACTTATTAAGATTGCAGAAAATTTGAATGATATTATGGTCTAAAAATCAACACGAAGGTTCTACGATGAATTGATTTTTTTCTCCAAAATAAAATAGTCTGAACTTGATTTATTGGTACTATGATATGAGTTAGTATAAGTTGCTATCAATTAAAATTAGGGTAATCACAGACGAAAAATTCAAGTCAATTGAAATTATTTCGGTTTCATAAAACGATGTGATAGTTCAGAGATTCTAATTATTGATCGAAAAATAACTTTTAATAACTTTCGCCCGAAAACCATAACTTTAAATTTTTTTAAAAAAAGAAACGAACTAATACGCCTTAAGGACTGACATTAAAATTTATATAAGTTGTCTCATTGCAAAAATTGTCATGCTAGTACTCTTAGAATGCAATGGTAAAGTTAGTAGCAATTCCAATGATAAAATAATTTGTAATAGTAACAGGAGTAGTAATAATAGTAGTAATAGCAATAGTAGTAGCAACAGTAATCATAGAAGAAATAGTATTAGTAGCATTAGTAGTAACTGTGATAGTAATAATAGTTATACAATATAATAGTGGTGATTATAGTTATATATTATAATCGAAGTATGCTATAGATATCCTTTTTAACCTTGTTAAGATTAACCTTTGACGCACAATTTTTATTAAATATATTTTTCATATTTTTGTATTAATTTTGGCAAAATATGTGAAAAATGTTATCGTTAGCATTTTAATAATTTATGGTAACGAAATAGAACATGAAAAGTCGGGGTCTTTTTCTAACAATATTTTTTTTTTAATTTGCACTTATTCACAGTTATTTAGGCCTAAGAGAAAAAATTATTCATAATTTCCTTAATTTAATTTCGAGTTTCTTTAATTACAAAATCAGTTGTTGGTAAATGTTTGAATAAGAAGAAGAAAAAAATAAACGAATATTTTAGCACAAATATAATTCCGATAATCTAACAATTTTTTTTAAGTAAAAGATTATATTTTATAATTAAAAAATACCAAAATATATTTTTACTCGTAATTAGACTGCCAGAAAAAATATATGTAAAATGGACACAGGTGTACCACCTGCGTCAAAGAATTAACTAAGATGCAATACGCAAAAAATGGAATATAGATTATAATATTTCAAACTTAGCTTAAATTAACCTAATTATATATTTGACTATCACTTTGTATGAAATAATACTTATTTGTGTTATGTATAATTATAAGGGAAGAAAAAAAATAAAGCTAAAAATGTTCCGGTTTATAAATGCTTGATTAACACATACATATATTTATATTTTGAACTCTAAAAGATAAAGTAATTGCAAACATTTTCCTTTTTGTAGTTTCAAATGGGATCTTACGAGACGCTATGGATTCTGGGTTTGTTTAGTCCATGGTACTATTACTGGATTCGCAATGTATGGAACAAATCAAATTCAAGTTCAAAGAATGCTAAGTTTAAGCACAATAGATAGAGCAAAATCGTAAGTTTGAAATACGTATAATTTTCCTGAAGGAATTTTCAGCAGAAGGTCTTGGCTCTACCTAACATAGATTGTTGTGCTAAATTATGATGATGATGAATTGTATTTAAGTTAAAATATAAAAAAGGGACCATTCAAGAAGCATATATTTTATAAAGTTTAAAACTGATGAGATTAATCATATTTCAAAAAACAATCTATCTGCATCCTAACTATTATTTAATATTAATTAAATTTTGATCACATTTTAGTATAAGAAAAGGAATACTCTATTTTAACCTGTATTTTTATTCATTTGACCAAATAAAACTCGTTTTGTGCATCGAGTTTTAAATTTTGTAAGTATAAATTTTTAATTTGCAATATTTTACAAATCGTTAATTTATATCTATTTAAAGTCCTTTCATAAAAATTTAGAACCAGAATGCTTATTTCTAATTCAATGAATGATTGGCAGATAATATTTTTTTTATAAAATGATAGACAATTTAGACTTTATATATTCTTATAAATCATATTAAAATAAAGAGCGAAACTTTTTTTAATAATTTAGAAAATATTTAATTATATATATTATAATGAGCATTTATTTGATGTAAACAAATTCCTAATACTAAAATGTTAACTAAGTAATAAAATGTTCTTCAGAATACTTAAGTTCAAAATGTTTTTCAAGTAATATTTTACAGAAATTCGAAACATATAATTGAAATTTCTTTATTATAAGTTCTGCAACAGTTTTATAATTATCGTGTCTGTACTTTCTCTCTAAGCACTCTTCGGATTAGTACTATCCCTGTGATGTTGACATACTTGACATGTAGTTCTGTAGGACTATTATTATATTCCATTTACTTCAACTGTGATCCAATTTTGAATAAAGAACAAACTGGTCTGAAGAAATACGATCAAGTACGTAACTTACATTATTATACTTAAATTTCTCAAAATTCTCTTTCTTGTTTTTTCATTTTTAATCAATTTTTTTCTTGTCGTTTCGCTTAATTTGCCTTTATTTCTCATGAAGGGTAAACGTACAGTTGAAGGAGCAAAAGTTCGCATGTAAGTTTAGCTTTATAGCTATGATTTAATTTCGCAATCAACATTTTCTATTTTCATGAAAAATTAATTTATAGTTGTGTGGCTTCTTTGAAGTTAATATTGATGTTGTGCAGACTGTGCAATAAGTGTAGTCAGAAAATAGCTGAAAACGTGTTAAAAAATTGAATGTGACAGTAACAAAAATTTTTATTTTTCAAAAGTACATTATTGAAGTTAGTTTAAAAGTACATAAGTACATTATTCAAAAGTAAATATTTTTTTAGGATTACATATTTCGCTTTTAACAATTTCATAAGTTGCACGATAAAATATAATACGTATTAAAGACATAGCTGAATTTACCCTTTTTCACATGCATGCACATAACAAAATTGCTAATTCAATTCAATAAGAGTATCCTCAGTTCAACTTGTTTTTTTTTAATATAGATTATTTATTGATTAGCAGCAATTTATACACTAGTTCTAAGTTCATGAAGATATTTGAAGAGCTTTTTGTACATACTTATTGCGTTACATTTTGAAAGCATAAATTTTCCAGTTTCTTACAGTTGCATATGAGAAAAAAATATTATTTCGTCTGTAGTTTTTTTTTTTTAGAATGACAATAGTGATAATGGAAAAAAAACTTTTAAAAAAGATGCATAATGTTTCTACAAAAAATTAAATAAATTTATAAAACACATTGATATATTATTTAATATGTTTATCCATTAAGCTCTCCATTTAACTGAAAATTTCCTTTTCTAGAGATAGTGCTTGCTAGCTTAAAATTTTAATAAATTAAATTTTTTTAATGCAAATTTTAAGTAAATTTTAAATAAACAGATACAACTTTCAATGAAAACCAAATTATTATTTACAAAAAATAGGTTTTTCAAACAGCTTAATATTGTTTCCACTCTCTGACATGTTTCTATGATTTGTTTTTGCTATATATTATTATTCTTATAATGTTTTTGCACTCAATCTATCTCATCCCAAATCTCACGGGTAAAGAATAACATCCCAGATAAAGTGGTTTCGGGTTATAGAGAAATTAAACGTGATAAGTTAAAAAGTATTTTAATCGAATTTGTGGCCGAAAGAATAAACATATATATTTAGAACCTTTTTCAGCATGCGTAAGATTAAAACTAAATTTTTTTTTCATTGACGCCTCACTTTCTTTGTTTGAATCAGCCTTCTAAGAATAGCAAGAGTTGCAAACACAGCATTGAACAAAATTTTAGACTTTCAAAATATGCTTTATTTAGATAAATAAGAATAGAAAACCACAATTAAAATACATTTCAATATCTCTTCTTTTTATAGATAAATCAGTAGTTCTTCTTTACCATCATTGACCATTTGAAGCAATCGTGGCGCAGTTTCTGCGAGAGACTTCAAAATTGCTCCGTCCCATACTTTTTTCCAGATCTCCCCTCCATTTTTGTTAACTGCCTTCTTTTCTGCCTTTTTGAAGTTTAATTTTCTTTATTTTTCAGAATTTCTCTATGGGAGTGAGATTAGGTAATGGAGGAGGTAACTTTAAAATATTTATTGATGCACCATTTAGCTCTTATGTGGTTTGTCTTGAAGAGTGGTAACTAATATTGCCTTGTTGTACCAAAAACCCATCAGGGTAAATTATTTAGATTGTTCGAAGGTTTTCATTAATGATATTGATATATGCGGATGAATTAACAGTTTCTTCAATGACAGATCAGCAAGTTTTACATATGCCTTTTATTGCTGCCATGACCTTTAACTTAAAAGAACGTTCTGGTACAGGTATAGTGCATTTATTTTCGCAATAGAATATAATGGTAAGCAGTAGTGGTAGAATAAATGGAAAAATATAATGACTACCAGTAAACTATACTGGACCGTGATGGAATTTTTTTGTTGGCTCAACATAAAAATCCATCATACCGCATTGGTACGCTATGCTGACACAACATTAAAATCCATCATACCGCATTGGTACACTGTGTTGACCCAACATAAAAATCCATCATACCATGTTGAGTTTGCAATGTTTTGGCCCATTAAGAAAATCCATCATACTATGTTGGGTATGTTTAGTTGGGTAAACATAAAAATCCATCATACTATGTTGGGTATGCTTAGTTGGGCCAACATAAAAATCCATCGTACTATGTTGGGTATGCTATATTGGCCCAACATAAGAATCCATCATGCTATGCTGGCACGTAGTTGGTATGCTATGTTGGCCCAACATAAAAATCCATCATATCACGTTGGGTATGTTATATTTGCCCAACATAAAAATCCATCATATCATGTTGGGTATGTTATGTTGGCCCAACTTAAAACAGATGCTAATTCCTAAATTGGGATGTTGGGCAGATTTTATGGTCCCCATCAAGCTGTATGCTGGTCTTTGATGGGAATTCAAGATGGTAACCATCATAATTATGTTGGTCCACCAAAAAAAACTATCAAGATTTTTTGCCTTGGAAAGAAGTTGCTATGGAATAACTATAAAGTGCTTTCATAAAAAATTCAAATAACATTCGAGATCCTGTGCAAGTTTTACGGAGCACATTCAACGCCGTTTACCCTTTAGATGTTAAAATTGACCATAAGCACACTATAACAAAATTATTGCATGAACCTGCAAAAGGTTTTTTCTCGAATACACTTATGTTATTAAATTTTCTCTAACAGTTATCTGAGAAAATCTTGAAGCTTTTATAAACATTGTTTCGCTAGTTTAAAGTTTGTAAAAATTGCAAATTATGATTTTTTGTTTTATTTAGATCATTCCTGCCTATGTTGTAAACACGTTTCATTCTATACCTGGAATGACTGGATTATGTATAGCTGGTATATTCAGCGCTTCACTAAGTACAATATCATCTGCCCTGAATTCAGCCGCTACAGTCACAGTCATTGACTTTATAAAACCTTTTTATAGAAAAGGAAATATTTCCGATTTCAAAATTATTTTAATGACTAAAATAATTTGTAAGTTGCATGTGACTTATTTTGAATAATTTGTTTTTTAAAAAAGAATATATCTGACTGTATTATATTCATATAATAATATTTTTTTTACATTAATTGTCAGGCATTTTTAATGAAATTATCAAAATTATTAGCCAAAAAATTAATGTAATTATTTTTAGGTTTATGAAAGACCTAAATTTGATCAAAAATTTCTTTCATTGGCTTAAATAAAACAAAAATTCCGTTTCATAGCTTATTAAATTTTTAAAACTTATTATGTATCATAACTTTAAGTCAAAATCATTAGATATATAATTTTTTAAAAATAATTTAAAGCACAATAATTCGAAATATTTTGAAAATTTATATATTTTTAATATCAACAAAATACAATAACAAATGTGAACAACATAATATCAATACTACAGTAAAAAACAAAAACAAATGTTTGCAGTTAAGTCGGGGTTGCGGTTTTGGATATCATAAAGTGATTTGGATAGGATATAGTGGGATCTATTTTCCAAAACAGTTTTTAGCTGTTTACGATATTCCATAGCCTGAAAATAGATAAAACACTTACAACTCTGAATGTGTTTCACTGTACCCTTATTTCATATAACGAATAAATATTTAACTATCTTCTTAACCAGTATTTAATTTTGAATTATAGCTCAAGATTAATTTTTTACGAAGATTTAAAATACATATCGCAAAAGCGTAAATGATATCTGTAATAATTTGTATTTAGAGATTTTAATACTTTCAAATAAATAAAGTCAATATTTCTATTTTTTACGTTTTTTGAAAGATATCCTCGATTAAAAGTAGCAGTTTTATTACAAGATGCATACTATTTTTTGTCTCTGATAGTTTTTGACTGTCATAAATTTATAATTTCCTTTTTATTACAGTATAATTTATATGAAAATACGCTCCACTGTCTAGCTTTGAACAGTGTAAAAAAGAAAGGATAAAGCCATCTATTTTTATATAGTTTTTTTTATTAAATATACTTTAATGGCATGGAATCACACTGAATAATAATTCAATTAACAAATTATTAAATTTTGATGCTGATGTTTGTGTTGCGCAAATGTAACTGTTACAAAATCTAGTAATGAATAGAAGTGCTTGGTTTTTTTTTAAAGAGCTTTTTTAATAAGTGGTGAGAAAGAGTTAAGAGCAAAAGGACTCTTCAAAACCTCTTTGTGTTAAACTTTTGAATTAACTCTCAAATATGGATCTTAAAGGGTGGCAAAATATTATTTTTAATGATAAGTTTACCATTATGTACAAAACTTTCTAAACCTCGAATTAAGTTATCTAAAAAAATAAAAAGATTATCAAATTTATCCATTTCTTTTATTGCATTTTGAAGAAAAAAATAAATGTATTTTGTGTTGGTTATGTTCCTCTTAAATTAAGCGACTTAAAGTACTTGTTGTTTTGCTGTTTTTTGCATCAAAAATATTTACTACCTCGTAGCTTTTTCTCTCTCGCTCTAAATTCAGTGGCACGACAGCCCATAGAGGGCCAAGGCCTACTCTGCCCATCTCAGTTTTCTTGACCTTGGGCTATGGGGTGCAGGAGCAGATGTTCCGGTTAGGTGGTCAGCCAAACACGAAACCCCCAGTGTTTAGTTCCGAAGCACGCTTGGTACTTATTTATCGACCCACTGAAGGGATGAAAGGCTGAGTCAACCTTGCCCGGCCCGAGGATCGAACCCAGGACCTGTGGCACGGGAGCGCGAGGCGCTACCACTTAGTCCCCGGGCGTCTCGTAGTTTCTTAATGAACAAAACTCCATACTATTACTTAACTGAAAACTTTATTCACTTCAAAAATATACAAATTGGATATATCAGTCGATATGTTTTAAGCGCTTAGAAATAAATGCTCATTTTCAACACTTACCAGTGAAGAAACAAAAGTGAATTGATACTTTTTTCTTCTCATTCACATCTGGCAAGTCTTAAAAATGGGCGTCTGTTTTTGAGTGCTTGAAGCATATCGACTGATATTTCCAATTTGTATATTTTGGAAGCGAATGAAGTTTTTAATCAAGTAGTATGTTGCAGTATTTCTGGGGATTATCTCTTTAAAAACCCAAATTGTTTTCAACACTGATGGAGAAATACATAAACTGATTTTATAAAATAACTTTTATTTTAATTAAAATGCTTCAAATGAAAATGTTTTTTCTCTGAAAAATTTAAGTTTGATTGAATTGTTATTGAAACTAAAGATTGCCTATAAATGTTTTCATATTATATGTAGTATAGAATGTTATTTTCACAGCTCTCATTTATGGGGCTATTGGTATTGGTCTAAGTTTTCTGTTCTTAAAAGCAACTAGTTTGCAACATCTTCTGCAAGTCTTATTATCTGCACCACAGGGTGTCATATTTGGAGTCTTTTTAATTGGAGTGCTCACAAGGAAAGTATCTGACAAGGTTATATATCTTTTAAAATAAATATAGAGTACATTATTTTTTTTCAAAATAAATAACGCACTCTATATCTTATCTGAAATTATTTTAAAAATCTTATCAATAATTACCTATAATTATTTAATTCAACACATTTAGACGAGTATTCAAATCAAGGCTGCTTTTTGTTTTTTTGGAAAGTGATGTTAGTTTAGGTTTCTTTCCGTTGAATATAAATACATAAAAATACTGCAGCACGTTACATCTGTCGAGTCGCAAAAGTCCTCCATGTTCCGATAACAAATCAATAATTCTGGGGGTACTGGATTGGAGATCGATCGCTCTGTGATTCAGGTCAAAATTACGATCAGTGGATGAATGAATGGATATATGGATGGGTCCGCCTTATAAACAGGTGTGACGTATGATGTGGCGAAGTCGAATTCTTGGTCATAGATGGCGCCACTGAAAAACAAGAATCGCACACTCTGCCTTAAATTTGCTCGGTTTCACCGAGCAGTCTTGCCCGTGTGGCAAGTGGCATTAGAACCTACCAACCAGCATAAAAATAACAAAGCATTTCTTTTTCGAAACTTTCTTTTTCTGTGTAAATTACTCTGGGGAACGATTTGTCCTTTTTTTGTTTTGTTTTTTATTACCTGAAATTTTTTGAAGGATCATGGATATTTTCATATCGCAGATTTCAAATCTGCATTCGATTTCTATCTTTAAGCAACGGTTTTTTAAATGACTTTTTCGGTCAATTTTTTGTCGAAATGCTCAAATTTAAAGACGTGCATTGGATTACGTAAAAGTTGCGAAGTTTTCTAGGACAGTTAAGACACATGCCCCGAAAATGTCGTCCTACGCCGCTAGAATCCTTTTATGAACTATTTCATTATGTGCATCTGAATAGGCAGAGTGGGGAATGTCCTACCCACGTAGTGGAACATTTCCGGGCCTGGGTTCCTAAGCAATTTTAATTCTGTGCTCTAACTCTCCTAGAAGTTTGTTACTTTATTTCAAACCCCTGTTAAGCACTGCTTAAAACAATTAAAGGATATTGAGGTTGTGGGTTGATCTTGCCCTTAGAAAATTAGAATTGTTTTGCTTATACCGCAATTTTATACAAGACTTATAATATTCTCTAACTTTTTTGAGCAGTTTTTGTGAGCACCTTTCTAAATTTGAATATTTCTCCAAAAATGTCCTTTTAAAAATAAAGATATATTGCTTTTGGAGCGAATATAACTTCAGATTTGAAATCTTTACATCCGAATTGGGCAAGATCAAGTATTTGTATAAATGCAACAAAAATTTTGTTCCTCAGTGTTAAACATGAAAATATAATTTCATATATTTAATTCATGCTATTTACTATTGATTTTTATAAATATTGTAACTTCTAAAACAAAATATAACTTTCGCACTTGGAGTATCGGAAATTCAGTTTGTGTCTCTTTAACAGTAAGCCCCTTAGTGTTTCTAACTGCTCTATATAATTAAGAAGCAAAATTTATGCTGTGTTTTATTATTAAAAGCAAAGTGACGTGACTACTTTATACTTTGTAAATAAAATTATCCTTTTCTTTCTTTTTCTTTTGTAAAATATCAACCTTTAAGGAAAAAAAAAGTTAAGAGGTATGAGAGGTCACGGGAAGAGTATGTGTTTATTTGCTTGCTTGGAGTTTTAAGCGCAGGAGAACGTTATGGTTATACCGCGCCAAAAACCCGGAGAATATCATACATTTAGGTTGTGGGTTATAAGCTTGATTCATGCATGGATACTAAAAGCTTGTGAGAGGACATTTAATTTTAAGCGCTTAGAAAAGTTTTAAAAGTAGTCTTTTTCTAAAATTTTTAATCGGTGTTTGGAAAAAAGTTCTCTTTTTATTTATTTTTTAATAAATAATTCGATTGCAGAATAAGACTGCAAAACAACTATTATAAAGTATTTAAATTACTGTAATTTATTTCAGAGTATATCTGTAGCTGTATTCCTATCATACATGATAGTTGCATGGCTATCCATCGGATCTTTAACAAGCAAGTACAGCCAAACTCCTTTACCATTAAGTGCCAGCTCTTGCCCATATTTAGGCACTAATTCCAGTGTAGTTACGCCTTCATGTCTAAACGAAGCCAATTGTACTGCCTCAATGATATCAACAAAACCTCCCCCTAAGTAAGTAGCACTGTTCCCCCTAAGTAAGTAGCACTGTGAATATTTTATGTACTTTATTTTATTAGGTTATGTGACCGGCAAAGTATGAAATGCCGGCATTATATATAGTGCCTGACGTTTTTAGGCAAAGTATGAAATATGAGAAGTATTACATACTTTGCCTAGGCATTATACAAGGTAATTCATAATTCCCTCCGGGCAGGAACTGATGGACTATGGTTTTTTAAGGTCAAGTGCCATTGCCCGGTATACATTTGCCCGGTATACCCTACACTGATGTTTTTTAACGTCTGCCCGGTATACATTTGCATGGTATACCCTACACCGATGTTTTCTTAAGGTTCAGTGCCACTGCCCGGTATATATTTGCCCGATACTCCAAAAACTGATGTTTCTTCTAATCTATCGTCAGTAGGTCTTAAAATATCGAATAAATGTAATTATATCCACGAATAAATTAATATCAAATCGGATGTAATAAATATTTCGGGCATTCACCAAAGCGACTATGTGATTGTCAACGTTCACCGGTGAAAGTCAACAACCACCGATTTCGGTCATTCACAGTAACATGCACATCATTTACATAATTACCTCATCAGGGCGATTATTTCATACTTTGCCTAAATAGCATCCGGCATTATATATAATGCCTAGGCAGTGTGTGCAATATAAATCATTTCATACTTTGCCGGCTAGATTTAGGCATTATATATAATGCCGGTTTTCATATTTTCCCGGTAACAGTTATATAAAGAAAATGTATAGAGAAAACAGTTTCTAAATGCTTTGTGCAAGGTAATTTTAAAATAATATTATAATTGTGATAAATTATATTGTTCTACGCATCACAAAGCAGTACTTTATGTATGTGTGCGATATTTTTAAATATTATCTATGTCTAACCTAGATAAGGTAAAATAGATAAAATGATTCGTGCTTGTCATTTAGATACAGGTGGGTTGAGAGTTAATGGTTTATTTTATAGATGTCGCAGTCTGACCGATCTGCAAAGAATAGTTTGCTTAAAATCAGAATATATAAGCGATTTTAAAATTATCAATCATAACAAATGCTTTATTATTTTACTTTAATTCTCATTTCAACGCTCTTAATTTAAAAATTAAATTTCCTTTATTAGGGTTTAAATATAGTAATAATCCGATTCCATGTCAGAGAGGCATTCAGATACAGGAATAAAATTAATTTTATGTATTCAGATATTTCAAATACAGGTATAGGTTTATAAAAGGCTTTTTGTTGGCCAATTTATTAATTAGTTGAGCTCTTCACCTTCCCGACAAAACTGTGGAATTACTAAATAGAAATTTAAGTTAGTTTGCTTTCTGGAAAAATCCTAGAATAGCCCACTTCTTGGCGGCGACTTTTTGAAATCTCGTTGATTTGGCAGTTATTACTGAAATTAATTTTGCTTTTTGATTATTCAATTATTAACAATTTAGGTTCGAAACAATTTAAATTATTAGTTATTGAAAATTCCTTCTTCTATTCTCTCGCCATTTTCAACATTTTCAAAAAAATCAAACATGAAATAATAACGGTTAAAAAATGAAATAATAACGATGATTCTAACAGTAAAAGATAAGAAGCGAAATATGGCAAAATGATAAACCCTTTCACCTCTTTTCTAACGAAATCCAACTTTCGTGTAGGTATACATATTAAATAACCAATCAGGTTTAAGAATTTTGGTGGTGTGATCAGACGTTCGAAATAATTCCTACGAAATATCTTGGCAAATATCAAATAGTCACCCAGAGGTGGGCTATTCTAGGATCCACTCTTGATTTCTTTATTTTACAGTGATAATACGGTAGAAAATAGTTTATTTGAAACTCTATCTTTCGAATAATTTGTCTAATTAAAACGTCAAATGTATTTTCCTTTGCTCAATTTCAATAATATGATTTCATAACTCTTTTACACTCGGGGTTTTTGAAATGAGAAAAAATAAACTGTATATGGCTACATAGTTCATGGGAGTAAAGAACGAGAGTTTCGTTTTTTGATGAAGATGGTTACTTTGGTTTTGCTTCAGAAATCTGAAAGTTATTTTCGTTGTTTCACTATTTTTTAGAGTGAAACCTGAGTGACTACTTCAGGTGAGTTGCTTTAGCAGTCACTGGTTAACTTAGAAAGATTTTCAACCTATAAAAAGAGAATGATTCAGTATTTTCGTTGTAGTTTTAGAACTTAAATTCGGGTTTTTATAATAGAGATCAACTTAGACAGGTGCTCAACTTGGCAGATATAACTTTATTCCTAGTGTAGCTGTACGCTGTACGCTTCCTTCCTCAAAAAAGCATTCACTTCTGGTGCTGATAAAAAGAGGCATATTCTGCTATTAGGTCAAGAAATATATATCCTAAGGCATAGATGCCAACTGCTCCGAATCCAACAAAATATTTTGAAAAAGTGTAGAGAACTGTAGACTAAAATTTGCAGATTTTCGGTTAATTTTGCCAACTGTTCAAAAGATGTAATGCGGCACAACTGAAACTAAGTGACGTTTCACACAAACCTTTGAATTATTTAGCAGTAGACATGGATAAAAACCCTATAAATCGAATTTTCAAACCATAAATCATACATCCAAGGATTACCACTCGAAAATACTCATCCGTTGCCCGGAGCAAGTTGTCATCTCTCAAAGGCTACCACTAGAAATTATTTGTGCGCTATGAGGAGCAAGCTGACCTTTCTGATATGGTAAACAAAATCGAGAGTAAAGTCTTATCAATCTTGCACAGTAATCACTAGAATCAACTTCGTTCAATGAAATAAATTTCGAAAATTAATGAAATCAGCTAAGGATTCTGCTTTGTACAAATGGCTAATTAAAAACAAAGGAAAGAAGTTCCACTATCTAAGGCTATAATGCAAATTCATTTTTAAATAAATATTTTTGCTTGTGCTCAATAGAACATAATATATTTGTTAAAGGATCAAAATGAAATTTAAATACTAAATAGCACTATTTTTTGAAAAAAAATCTTTCCTTTTCACAGTTTAATGATAAAAAAATGGCAATAATTCGAATGGCAATAATTTTTTATTTTTATTAACCGTTTCCAATAACTTTAGAAAATCAAGGTCATTCTGCATTACATGCATAAATTTTTTTATTTAGAATTAGGAACGTGGTTGAACGATAGATAATTTTTTGTAACATCTGAATAGTTTGATTTAAAATATCTCAATTCATTTTATCGATTTAAGATATATCTTTAATGAAATAGAATTCTGAATAAGTATCTTAAAATTTAATTTTATTGAAGAATTTTCATTAAAAGTGTTTCATTAAATGGAATAAATTGCGAAAATTAATACGCATTAAAAACTAGCATTTGAAATGTAACTATAGTACACAGATGAATTATTAAAAAAAAATAAAAATATTATTTGCTTAAAACAATGTTTTTACATTCGTTTATAAATAAATGTCTCTTATATTTTGTCTCACAGTGTAAAAAATTCTGCATCAAATTGTGGTATAAAATACCGTAAAATTTTATTGGGGGCGTCGTCAGTAATATCCATTTACCGTAGAAAAACATTGTTACTGTAAAATATTATGCCGTAATTTTTAGATTAATATTTATTTAATTCGAATAATTAAGTAACTAATTAATCATTCGATACTGCAACTAAGTACTGCAACTACTAACTTAAGTACTGAAACTACTTCCATAATTTTAGGCAGTGTATTAATATCCATTTAACATGTTGTTTTTTAAAAATAAATATGGTTTTTGTATTGGCATAGATATTTTTATTTGCTACAAATATATAATTTTTCCCTTTTTCTTCCATTTTGTTTAGAGAAATATTTTTCCTTTATAAAATCTCTTTCATGTGGCATAACGTTCTTGGGCTCTTCTTAACTTTATTTTTTTCGGCAATTGCTGTCTTAATAACAGGTAAGACTTCTTCACGTATTGTTAGTCAAAGATAAAAATATCACCCTGATTAACTTTTGTTCTAATGATTGTATTTTCACGAACTAAGTGCCAAGCTTAATGACATAAAAATATGACTTTGAATGTATGTAATTAGTACTTAATATTAATTAGGTTGAGGAAACAATCACAGAAAACATATTTCATTAAACTAAATATACCTTTTTCCTTGCAGATTTACATTCTTGGGAATAAAAATACGGTGCTTAACAGCAAGCTGGAATATATAGCTTCCATTATTTAGTCCAGAGTTCGGTGCATATTTTGCTCCCTTTCGTGTCAACTTCTCTTTTGCAGAAATAATTCAATTTTAACTAAGGAAATACACAGTTTGAGTCACTTGAGCTATAAAATTAAAAAAAATCTTATTTTTTAATTTATATTTCTCTGGAACTACTCGACTAGTTTTGACCCTTTTAATTTGAAATAACGTATCTTAAAATCTTATAACATTTTGTATATTCTACAATTGAAAAGCTTTCGGCCATCATAAAATGCCAATAAAAGTAGCAAGCAAGCATTATGTTTCATTGGATGATACCTTATATATGAGATATCTGGAATATATGAGATTTATTTTTAAGCAAAAAGTTTTCATTTCATTTTAAAAGTTTTCGAGATGTGGCAAAATACAAAGAACATTAACCCTTTGACGCAGAATTTTCTCTAAACTTATTTTTAATACATTTCATTTATTATTTTGCACTAATTTAGGTCAAAATAAATGAAAAATACTATATTTAGAATTTTAATTAATTATGGTAAGGTAATACAGTATGAAACATCGGTGCTTTTTACAAGTTGAAAGTTAAATCTTCCTAACGCTACTCACTTCCAAACAATACATTTTCAAACTCTGCATTTAGATCCAAGAGAAAATGTTATTTACCACTGAAATTTCCTTTATTTACAAAATCAACTATTGATAAATTTTTTATTATGAATGAAAAAAAATCTAATTACTTTTTTTGGATTTTATATCTTGAAACAAATATAATTCCGAGAATCCAACTGATTTATTTTATTATTATTTAGACTATTTTTAATAATTAAAATATACTAACATGTATTTTTACTTGTATATGAAAGCGTCAGAAAAAAATAAGTAAAAGGGCACCGGTGTCCGATCTGCGCCAAGGGATTAAGGGGGTTGAAACTTTTAACCACACTCTCCGCACTTAACTTAGTCTTCCAAGTTGCTGCTTCCTCCCAATTTGGAAGATTAAAATTTAAATCTTTTTGAAAAAAAGAGTTTTTTTTCAAAGATTTAAGATTTTAGTTCTTCTTTGTGTATGTCTCCCTAACTCATCTGATATCACTAATAACCGATGACGTCACTGTTTTTGAATTGTTAAGTTTGGCACTTAATTCAGAAGTTAGCTATTAGGACAAAAGTCAATTAAGGTGACTTCTTTTTTGGCACTGCATGCAATAAGCTATATTTATAGGTAACACATTTAATTTATAACTGTGATATAAAAATGTATTTGGATTAAGAAACTATATTTCAATTTCAATGGTGCCTTTACTAATACGTGAACCAAATATTCCAATAGGGTAACTAATTGAAAAATTAAAAAAATTAGGATTTGGAATAACCTATAGTGCTTATATTATTTAAAACTATTATCTAAAGAGTAAAATTGTACTTTGTATTGCATGAATTAATAACTTGAACTAGTTTATCTTGATAATTATCCGAACTAATTAACAGTGGAATTGAAAAAAATCGAATTAGAATATTTTTATAAGTTTTTATTTTGACCTTTAAGGAGAAAATTTCCACTTGTTTATAATTAGGTTTAAAAGGTCTTCATAACAATAAAAAAATAATCTTTGTGAATTTTATATGATAAACTACTTTAAACAATTTTATATTCGGGAAAAAAAAATTTTTTTCAAAATCCAAAATTTTCTAACTTTAATTAATTTGGATTTTAAACTTTCAAGAAAATAAATGAAAAGTCTATTTATATTGAAGTGAATTTGGTATCTCGTACATTCCGTTTTATTTTGAGTTTTCAGCTGACAATTAATCATAATAAATCTAGTTAAGTCGTATTATATTTTCCAGGTTGGCGAAATAATGTGGTGCCAATTGACTCAAAATGCCTAAGTCCAGTGACTAAGCTTTGGATGAAGAAAACAACAGAGAATAAAGAAAACAACATACTTTCTGGTTTTGAAACGTCTGAACAAACACATCAATTGTAGATTTAAATGTGAAAAAAAAAATCTCTTGTAAATAAAATAATCTTAAATATTTTTATATACATTTTTTAATCAATAAATAATTATAATGAAACTTAAGCATGTAAAATGAGCAAATGATGATGTTAGCAAAGATTTTGTGATGTTGTCTCTGATTTTAGAGATTTCAAGAAGATGCAATTAATACCCCAATCATAATCAATAAAAAAACATTGGAAAACGTAAGAGTAATTATAAAAAAAGATCTTCTAGTTTTTTGTCGTTGGTAATTAGAGCAGGGGAGTGTGATTTTTCTAGTTTTCCTATAGCGCCATCTATTGCCAAGAATTCGACTTCTACTACACTCGTCTATAGAGCGAGTCCACTCAAATATCCACAGATTGTAATTTTGACTTTAATCAGAACACGATCAATCTCCAACTCAGTACGTCCAGATGCATAATTTGTTACGGAAATATGGAGGACTTTGTGACCCAACAGATTTAATTTGCTCCTATCACTATTTACTGAACGAGGATTTTTCAGCCTTCTTGATTCGAACTCCCGTTCTCATGAACGCGATTACAGTGCCCTGCCAACCAGGCTATCCCGATCCCTTCAAATTTTTTGTTAAGTTCAAAATTTTGTTAATTCCCTTGTCCTCTGGATTGGGTTAAAAATTACAAGGCTACGGAGTTGAACATTAGTAGTCGCAAGCCCATAAAATTGGGTCGGCTGTTCAACGACTATTATAAAATGTAATATAATAACATTAAATGCAAAAGTATGTTTATTTTCAATTATATTTCTATTATTTTAAGAGTTGAATATTTGTTTTATTTTCTACATGAAGACACTGTTATCGATATACAGGGTGGCCCGAAACGACCGCATTAACTCTGCACAGCTAGATTCCTCGTTGGGAGTACATAAAAACTGTTCCTGTACGATCAATAGTTTACGAGAAAAACACGAGAAACAAAGTATGACGTCACTGCCGGTGCAACAAAAAACACTTTATTGAACATATCAACAACAGTATACAATGCACAATTTAAGTAAGATGTTCAAAGTGTCCGTTTTAAACATTATCGTCTGGAAAGATATGCAAATACTGTTGCTGATATGTCCAATAAAGTGTTTTTTTTCCTTGCACCGGCTGTGACGTCATACTTTGTTTTTCGTATCTTTCTCGTAAACTATGGATCGTACAGGAGCGCTTTTTTGGGCTGTTTTTATGAACTCCCAACGAGGAATCTAGCTGCGCAGAGTTTATGCGGTCGTTTCGGGACACCCTGTATACATATATATTTGAATTCTGCATCATATAACTTGAACTAGTTTATCTTGATAATTACCTGAACCAGTTAACTGTCCATGTGCCATGTTCTTGCGAGAGTGGTGAAGCATATTATATTATTAGTGGTGAAGCTTAGGTTAAAAAGAGATTAATTTAGTTCCTTCTTCAAATCTAAGAACACGTGAGAGTTTCTGAGAATTTGTGGTTCTGTGTTGAAAGTTGAGGGAGAATATATTTATATATTCTCCTCTTATCATATATCCCTCTATCATATATCATATACCCCTTATCATATATCCTATATATATATATATATATATATATATATATATATATTTATATGGNAGAGCTGCGTTACGAATGTATCGCGCGGAGTATCCTGATCGACGAATGCCGGATCATAGAATTTTTCAACGGTTACATCGTCAACTTTGTGAAACAGGTGCGTTCGACGTCAACAGACATGACGCTGGTCGATTAAGAGCTGTACGCACTCCAAGGCTGGAAGAAAGCATCTTGAACATTGTGGCTGATAGACCCGAGTCAAGCACAAGAACTGTTGCGCGTGACGTAGGTGTGAGTCATCAGACTGTATGCAGAGAGTTAAACGAAAATCGCTTACACCCCTTCCATTTTCAGAAAGTACAAGCATTGAATCCGGCAGATTATCCTCTCCGCGTGAACTTCTGCCTGTGGGTGATGCAGCAATGTGCGTTGCAGTCCTATTTCGTAGGTGATGTGCTATTTACAGATGAAGCGACATTTTCACGCGAGGGTGTCTTTAATGCGCACAATTCCCATGTGTGGGCAACCGATAATCCACATGCAACGCGTCCACATGCGTTTCAACAACGTTTCTGTATTAATGTGTGGGCTGGTATTGTGAACGACTTTTTGATTGGCCCATACTTACTACCCACGCGACTCAGTGGCGGAAGCTATCTTATTTTTCTGAAAGAAGTGTTACCACAACTGCTGCATGATGTTCCGATCGCCATTCGTAACCGCATGTGGTTTCAGCACGATGGGGCGCCAGCACACTTCAGCATTGATGTACGGAATTACCTGAATGCCACGTTTGGTGCTCGATGGATTGGGCGTGGTGGACCAATCCCTTGGCCACCCCGATCTCCCGATTTATCGAGCCTCGATTACTTTTTATGGGGACATCTAAAGCATCTTGTTTATGAGACTCCAGTTGACTCAGATGAGGATCTCGTCGCTCGCATATCTGTAGCTGCTGCAGGTGTGCGTGAAATACCAGGCATCTTTGAACGTGTACGCCAATCGCTCCACCGACGCTGTCAAGCATGTATCGCTTCTGGTGGACGCAATTTTGAACACTTACTGTAAACATGACACTTGTCAACAACGCTTTCAATAAAATCTTTGTTTTTCCTTTCGGCCGTTATTTCTCCTGTTTACGCCTCACCGCGTCACTTGCGACTATGCATTCCTATATAATAAATCATTGTTACAATGTCCTGTACCTACCATTAAAGTTTGTACCATGAATTCGGGACCACTCTGTATATACCACGTATAACATGTTTGTACACCATTTTTTATTATTTTTGATTTTGAGTTAAGTGTTTCAGAGTTTATTGTTCTTCTAGCAGTCATAAAGTTATACTCTAACTCTAATCGATTTTTCTACAACGATATGAAATATGAAGTTCATTGCTTTCACATGGACATAATGACAAGCTGGTGTGAATGGTTAAAAAAATTAGAACAGGCTTAATAAAAATATGCATAGATTCAATGGTTTGAAGTGTAAATAAGCAACATGGAGACCTCTTCTTTGGAATAAGCTTCATATATTTTCGCTTGAATCGTACAAAATGATAATCTTAATACTTTATTTCATTCTGTCTGGTGGAATAACTAAATTTTACTCATTTCATAAATTCTTCTAAATTCGGAAACTAATGGAGCAACATTTTATTCAAAGCAAAGTTTGTCCCTGTAGCTATTTCAATATTGCACTGTAAGATTGTGCACGATTATGTAGTCCAACAATCATTTGAATATTAGTTAATTTTTTTTGGAGATTTTTTTCTCTTTAATAAATAGGTTTAAAAATTATGAACGCGAAACCTTAATGTGATTAAAAATTTCTATTCCCTTGACGCAGAACAAATTTGATTAAACAAATTTTTATACTTTTTTCTTTATTTTGTAATAATGTAGGACAAAATGAGTAAAAAATATTATTTTTATCATTTCAATAATTTAAAACTATGAACTATGCATGAAGCACCGGTGTATTTTTCTAGGTAAAAAGTAAAGTCTTCAATTTTAGTAACTATTAGATTAATTTTTCAAAAATTTAAAAATATCAAAATATATTTTTAAGTGTAATTAAAAAAGGAGAATTTTTTTTATGAGGGACACCGGTGTCCTGTTGGAGCTAAAAGCTTAACAACTTTAAAGAGTAAGCTATTGTCATGACAATAGTGGTTTTCATCAATACAACAATAAAAACTTTCAATTTATTTGAGATTTAGAGCATTTCGAGTACATAGTTGTGTGTATACAACTTTTCATGAAGAAAATTCTACTTGTGTCTCTGTACCCTGTATCAAATATATCTATTTGATTTGTTGGACAAATACTTGGTTTTTCTTCATCCAAAATTGAGTAACAGGACTCAAACACTTAGAATTTGCAGGTATTGCATTCTTTTTCCATCCTACAAAAAGTAAAGAAACAAAAATCAAATAATTAAATAAATTTTTATTTCATATAAAATATTTTTATTTATAAAGAATATTTATTGAATATCCTTTATCTCCATGTATAAAATGCTAACAATGTGTTGATATGTTATGATACCCAAAAATGGCCAACGATTTAAAAAAAAGTGGAGAGAAGGTCGTGTTCGCATTGCTCAGGAAACTAAAGAGTTTATTCATACTAAGTTTCGAAGTTCGTTGATATATGGCCTTCTAAAATTTGGAAGAATTTATAAAAAGAAATAATTTCAATATAATCGTTAGCAACAATAACGTGGTAGCATTTAAAGAATAAAATAAACAGTTCTCCGAGTAACCATTTTAGTTAGAATCGTCATTTGAAAGTTAAAATGGAAAGAAGAAGAAATAATTATTTCATATTTTTTCTGATCAAACGCGCCCGCTGTTGATGACATTTATAACTAGTTCTGAAACCGTATAATAAAACAAATTATTTCCTAAGTTGAATGTAGCTAACTAGGACTTTTTTGTTGATTTTACAAAACGTTGGTCATTATCGGTTGCATATAATGAAATGGAGGAAGTATAATTAAAGATTGTCATATAGATCGATAAAGTTTTTAAAAAAGTATGCTAAAACCTTAAATAGGATTTAATGTAAATGTAAAAAAATGCGAAAAAATACAGCTGTAAAACTATAATTTTAAAAAAACTCATAATTTTAAAAAAACTCATAATTTTAAAAAAAGAACAATAAACGCATTGTAATTTTTGATAATGATGACAAATAAAATTTTATTATTTTCCGAATAATTCGATAGTTTGCACAACAGTCAATATTTTTGAAACTATAATACAGAAGAAGATACAGCTCATATTGCAATGCCATGCATAGAGATATTTTTATTATTTTAGCATACTTGTTAAATTCTTAATATTCTAAGAAAATGTTGTTACTTACGCCACTTACCAGTGCCTGCAAGGATGCTTGAAACCAAGCGAATTTTTAAGTCAGAGAGTGCGTTTCTGGTTTTTTCAGTTGCGCCATTTTTGACCAAAAATACTGTTTTAGTTTCACATACGTCACAGCCCGTTTTACATAGAGGACCCAATCATACTCCATTCATTCATACATTCACAAATCGTAATTTTAACCTGGACCAGAAAACAATCAATCTCCAAATTAGTACCTCCAGAGGTATTAATTTGTTAAGGGAACTTGGGAGAGGTTTTTTCAAAACAGAGAGTTTTTGACAAAGTTATCAACACGAGATTTTATCTTGACGAAATAGTAAAAAAAAAATTCTATTACGAAATAGCTGAAATTTGAGAACATGAGGTATGGTGAAAATGGTGCATGTAGTAGAAGAATCCAATCATGCTCTAGCAACTTTAGTCAAGTTGACAAACCATGTATTTTCCTTTTGAAATATGACATATTTATGGTCCGCTGTTACGGAACGTTTTGGTTCAATTATTTTCTCTAAATTACCTAATAGATTGAAATACTTTTCCAAATTCTGTCTTTTGGAATATGTATGCAATCTGTTTACTTTCAATTATTTAAAACTGGTCATGCACTACATACCGAAAATCCTTTTAAACGTTTTGGGTACCTTAAGGAACTTTTTCTATTATTTCCATAGAACAGTTATTTATTTATATTTCATTGCTAGTAAATCTTTACATTTAATGCATGGTTTCAAAAAAACAATGCATTACTAAACTGTGATTGGAATCTATTTATTTTGATCAAACAAATATGTTAATATAAATTATCAACTTTTAATGTTAATTTCTTTTAGCATAATTTCAGTCTAAGTTAAAGTATAACAACATTAAATTTAAAAATTGATGTAAATTTAAATATATGAGGATATTTCGCTATTATAAAAAGTACATTTTATTTTATTATGCAAATTTTAATAGTTAATAAGTATCTACGGGATAATTTACATAACTGCATAACTGCACCTGAAAAAGAAATAAACTGTACAATTTAAATAATTAATAAATACGAGGGTTGTAAATTAAATAGTGGCAACTTAACCTTGAAACTCACAGAAGGGCGGGCATGCGTAAATACGGTATGGGTGGGGGGAGGTGGCACTTTTGTCGATGTGTAGAGTGCAAAAAAAAGTCGATTTGCTTAGAAGGGTAGTTGTTGTGGAGTTTCTTTTCCATCGCTCTAAAGCATGTTTTCAAAAGGTGATCAGCGATCGTGACTTACAATCGAGGTTGCCCGTGGAAAAATGCAGCAGAATGCTAGCGAGGATTAGTGGAAGCCTGTGGAGCAAATGTTTTACCGTATAGGACAGTAGAACGAAGGGTTCAAGCATCTCGTCTTTTTTCGTCATTAAGCCTTTTCACAACATGCTTTAGAGCGATGGAAACGAAACTCCTCACTTTAACGCCACGCAACAACTACCCTTCTAAGCAAATCGACTTTTTTTTGCACTCTACACATCGACAACAGTGCCACCTCCCCCCACCCATACCCTATTTACGCATGCCCGCCCTTCTGTGAATTTCAAGGTTAAGTTGCCACGATTTAATTTACAACCCTCGTATTAAAAAAGCCGGTTAGAGAGCCTTACTTATCTTAAACATAAGAGCTTCTAAGATAAAATTTATGAATTTTAATTCTAACTAGCTGTTGCCCGCACGTTAATACTTTGATTTCAATTTTAACTGTTTTCAGGAGACATCCGCGATATTTAGAAAGTTATCTATATATTGAAATTTAATAGTAATTCAAAATATGTCTGGCAGTCATTAAATTTTACACACTGTATAGCGTGTCTACCACAAAAAAAAATACAAATTCAATTTACTAGTATATAAGACACGTTAACTCGATTCCATGTTGGGGGTACCTTTTCATAGATGAAGGTTGACATTGGCGATAACTACTCTAATCCCCACATTGGTGACCCGGACGTGATGTGAACAAGCCTAGCTTGGCAGAAACTACCACTTCAATCACCCATTTACTTGCTACTTGTAATTGCGACATTATCCACCTCCTCGCACAGTAACTACTCAGTCTCGATCACACACAACGTATGCACTCGACTGCTAGTGGCAACAAAGGAGCGACCATGACCGTGAACTTAATACAGCTCTCACGATCAGTACTCAGAAGTACGGTGATCTTAATAAAGCTCTACTGGCTTCTCACAGAACAGCAATGAATCAACTAGCGGTATCCATTCATCGAATTCTATCACAGCTATTATTCTCGTAGGGGAGTACTGTAGTGTGTCTATCACTACAAAAATATAATTCCAATTTACTAGTATATAAGACATGTTAACTCAATTGTATGCTGGGGAACTTTTCCATAAAATTAGAAGAAGGTTTTCATGGTCGATGAAATTCTCTCCACACAAACCTCAATAAGTATGAGTTTGAAACATTTTAGCATAGTGAGCAGTAGAAATATATCTGCCGTAGGATAGAAAACTCATCCCAATGCCTCATTATGTACTGTACAAATTAATTATCCATATCTTGAGTCACAATTTGAGTATCGTACAAATAAAAGATATTGCTCGAAAAAGGCTAGCTCTGTCACCAATAATTGGAGCTCACAGCCCCGTTTATGTATAAAATTTTCCACAGCCATTTTAGAAAGAATTAAAGATAAATCGAAATAATTGCTATTACTTCGTTACTTCGAATTCGCTTTTAGTTCAGGGTGGAAAATCTTATAGTGAAAACTGTGAAGAAAGTGAGACTAGTTGCGCCATCTCGTAGCATTTTTCAGAAATCCAAAAGTAATTGCTGGATTTAAAGAAGCTTGTAATATGCGACGAATTCAATTTCAATGATGCCATTTTTCTCTTCGTCGCATGGAATTCGACGGAGACCATAGGGACACAAAAATACCGAAAGTATAAAATGTGACGCCAACAGAAAAGGTATTAAGATAATCTGACAACATGACTTATTAATAGATCTCTGTAGTGTTGCCAATTTAGACAGAGAAATATCAGTGTTTTTGATGCTGCATAAGAGAAATAAATATATAGATAATAACTTTTTTATAATAATGAATTTATCATTTAGACCGTAAACTTACGTTTATACCGTTTAAAAAGTTCTCATTAAACCCCATAGTGAGCTATAGAAAAAACACTGCAAATTACTTTTGACTCAATTTAATCTGGAAACTTCAGTAATTTTTATTTTACCTTTTTTTATGCTGAAGACATGCATTTTCATAAAATAACTCAAGTTTTCATAATTATTACCTTCCCATTTTATTAAATATTTAGAGTGAAATATGATTCTAAACTTTTGAAATACAGTCTTAAGCTTTAATCCACTCTAAACCAATCTCTCTTATTAATAAAAAAAATAAAGTTAGAGGTTATTGAAGAAAAATAATAGAAAATAATGTATTTATGCTTAAAATATAAGCACACCGGACAAAAAATTAGTCACCCTTAGAAAAATCTTGAAAAACGTCATTTAATAACGTGTAACTGGACTTGATAGCCACCTGAATTCGATTAGGAAGTGAGTCCGCAAGGTTTTTCTGGTACGTCGAATGCAGTTTAAGCCGCTAGCTGAGGATTTGATCCCTTAAATCCACCAAATTGCGAGACTGCTGATTTTGGAGTCTTATCCGTTGTTCCAACATGTCCCACAAATTTTCAATGTGGTTCAAGTCAGGTGGTTTTGCAAGCCCGATGAACTTTGCTGTTGTCATCTTGAAAAATAGAGGTATCGACAGCATTCTCTTCATGAAGATGTTGACAGAAAGGTAATGCTTGATCATTCAATAAAATTACAAACTTCCAAATGAAAATCAATAGACTGTCGGGAATCGGCTGGGGACTTACTCCGAAAATTAGAAAATTTATATATTTACAATGCACGCAAAAGATCATAACATATGGAGCAGAAGTCTGGTATAACGATCATATAAGAACACTTAATAAAATAAGAAAAATTGAAAGAATACCCCTACTTAATCTAACTAAAGCATACCGAACAACATCAACAGATGCATTGCAGATATTGGCGGGAACTATACCCTTAGATATTGTCGTTAAGACGGAGGCAAAGATCGCAAATTGTTATCTTCATGAAAAAGAAATCGACAAACAAGTGGAGTTACCTATAAAACACCCGGCGGAAAATATCCAGATACCATATAGACTTAACATACCGACTGATACAGGACTGGAGATCTTCACTGATGGATCGCGACTGATTTTTGGAGGTGAATTTAGAGTGGGATGTGCGTTCGTAGTTTTTATGGACGGCCATCCCATAGACCATTACACATTTAGATTATGTAACAATTCCACTGTCTACAAGGCAGAGCTTTGGGCAATTTTACAAGCCATTTTCTGGATTAAAGAAAATGAAATTAAGGACACAATAAGAATATACTCAGACTCATTTTCAGGAATACAAGCCTTAACTAAACCTGCCGATAGTGACTACATGACTACTATAATCAAAAACAATTACACACAAAATATAGTCTTACACTGGATTAAAGCCCATGTGGGGTTTAAGGGAAACGAAGAAGCAGATAAGTGGGCGAAAAAGGCATGTGAAAAGGAAAAAATAGACATATTCAATCTCCCTTCCAAAAGATCGGTCAGACTAGAATGTCGAAACCAAGACGTGATAACATGGCAGAATAGATGGGACAGCTCAACCTCACAGGGCAGACATACTCATAATTTAATACCTGAGGTCTCTTATAAAGTTCAATATAGCGACTTCTATATAAACCAATTTTTAACCAATCACGGCACACAAAAAGACTATCAACGAAGATTTCATAATAAACCTTTAAATTGCGATCAATGCAGAGTTACAGACGACTTGGAACACATTCTACTAAAATGCCCAACTTATGAACATAAAAGAAAATTATACTTTCCCAAAAATCTTAGCTACGAAAATTTAAAGAAATACTGGAACCAAAAAAAGATAAAAGAGGGTATAAGGGAAATCATCAAAGATCACTTTGGAAAAAATACACCAGAAATAATTTAGTTAAAATGAAAACCAATTAATTCCCTAAATAGAAGCCAATGGAAACGTGTGCAAATAATAGAGAGAAATATATGACGAACGCAATATACCTCATCATGTTCATCTTTTCATCTGTATAAAGAACATTTTAGCTCATCATGTTATAATTTTTCTAAATATTAATACCCGGATACCCCCATAGGGGGCGGGACGGGGTATAGCAATAAATGCTTGATCATTCAGAATGTTCAAATAAACATGTTGGTTCATGTTAGTGGTGACTTCAGTGAGTGGATCCAATCCATAATAAGAAAAACACCCCCAAAACATGACAGACCCACCACCGGCTTGTACCTGACCTTGAACAAAATCAAGATGAAATGCTTTATCTGTTTTTCTGTGCACTCGACGACGTGAGTCATTTAAATAAAGGCAAAAACGTGATTCGTCAGACCATATTACATTCCGCGAGTCAGCAACTGTCCACGTTCGATGACTTCTAGTCCACTGAAGTCGCGCAGCTTTATGTGCCTGCGTGAGCAATGGACTCTTGCGAGGTATTCGACTCAAAATGTTTATATCATGAGGCTAACGCCGCAATCTTCTCTTACTAACAGGTTGGGATGGACCTTTATTCGCTAACTGAAGCAATTTCTATCTAGTTTGAAGGCGATTTTGATTGACAAATCGTGAAACGCGTCTCCGATCACTTTCACGCAGGATCTTTTTCCAACCACAATTCTGACGTCAACTTTCGTGACCACGTGCATTACACCACTGCTTGTAGTCACGTTGAACAGTTCGCATCGAAACAACAACAAATCCAGCAACTTCATTTGACCATTGTCACGACCAAACGCAATAGCCCCTTTTTCCACTCTGCCGTATCTTAGCACTTACTCATATTTGCACACAAGTTTTGCTTAAAACGAAAATATCTCTCTGATGGCTTCTTGCCTTTGATCACGTTGAGGGTGCACGCGCAGCTGAGTACGTCACTTGACCCCTGCGTCATCAAACAAAACCTAACGATTCATCGGCACTTGCGTACTAGGGTGACTAATTTTTTGTCTGGTGAGCTTATGTATGCTTTTAATATCTGCTTTAAAATGTTTTAATTTAAACTTTCAATATATTTATGTTAAAAATTGATTTAACGGATTATGAAAGAATGTTAACATACTTACCCGTTATTAAAGCAGCAAAAGCTGTGAGTAAAAATGTTAGAAAGAATCCAATGGAAGAATACCACACAAATGTCATTTTATACAGTACAAAGTGATTCCTGAAAAAAATCATTCATTTATTATTGATTTTATTATGTTTATATTCAAACCAACTCATCAAATATTTCATCATTTTAAAACTTAAATGAGATGAGTGACAATATTTTAAAAGTGTGAAATGATATTGAAAAATCATATTCTCTTCCCAAATTGGATTTAAATTAGATTTTCGTTTTTTCTTTTTGATTTCATGCTTTGCTTTTTTAACATCTTTTTTTTGTCAAACTTTCGATGAAAGCTTATGGTTTGACATTAAGTTTCAAAAAAGTGAGAAATAAGACATCTGTTTTCATAAGATTTAAAGAAATTATACTCTTTCTGAGGTAACTTCTATGGATTTTTCTCAAAAAGTTAAAGCGATAAAATTATGAGATTAATAATTTCGGAAATTTGGATGTTAATGAAAAATTTTTTGAATGTGTAGAGCGCAGAAGGAAAAATATTTTTCAGAACTTTAAAATCTGGAAGACTAAATAGCATTTATGAAAAATACTGGAATTGTATTGACTTTATTTTATCAGGAAAGTATTATATAAAATTAGAATACTGTTTGCTAAAACTCCTCGTTTATAATTGAGTGATAATCTTGAGGTTTATAGGATTCAGAAAATATTTAGAGTAAATATCAATAACTTTTTTGGAAGTTAACTAAAAACAATAAAAATTTATTTAACTCTTCTCTAGCTCGTTCATTCTCTCCCAATTTTACCAGTAAACCTATAAAGAAATTTATATAAATGTAATTCATTTATTTATGATTAATAATTTAAAGCATTTTTTTTAAAATTCATACATTGTAATGTATTTAATTAAATTTATTTACCAAATTCTAATTTATTAAGTAAATATTTTTGAAATTTTTAAGCTTGTTGCTTTTTAAATTAATAAAATTGAACAATATAAATTAGTCGCTTAATAAATAAGAATTAAATCGCAACAAGTTTTAAATTAATTAACCATAATTAACCATTCCTAGAAAACATTATTTTTCAATTTTTTTCGCATCTGAAACTAAAAAAAGAATCCAAATTTGTAGCATCTTTTTTTATAAGTTACATTTTTTATCAAGATTTAAAAAAAAGTGTCTCGCAACAATTCTTACGGTGGTTAAGGTGCTTTTATGTTATGACTCTACTGTTCGGAGACCACTAACATGATGACAACAATGAGGTAATCAACAAGCTCAGACCACTTTTATTTTTGGACCTAGCTAATCTACCAATTTCAAACTGTGTGGGTTTCAACGTGTAATCGGAAATGCAACCAACGGTCTCCAAATAGAGTTCTGCGGAACCCTTGAGTTCCAGGAAAGGATCTCAAGGGTTCCGACAGTTAAAGTTTTACTTTACTAAAAAATTAAAAACTAAATTAAATAAATTAATTAAAAACTATGAACTAAAATTAAAATTAAAAACTAAATTAAATAAATTAATTAAAAACTAAAAAAGAACCAAACTTTGTAGCATCTTTTTTTATAAGTTACATTTTTTATCAAGATTTTAAAAAAATGCCTCGCAACAATTCTTACTGTGGTTAAGGTGCTTTTATGTTATGACTCTACTGTTCGGAGACCACTAGCATGATGACAACAATGAGGTAATCAATAAGCTCAGACCACTTTTATTTGCGGAGATTATCTATTTTATCAATTTCAAGCTGTGTGGGTTTCAAAGTGTAATCGGAAATAGAACCAGCGGTCTCCAAATGGAGTACTGCAGAACCCTTGAGTTCCAGGAAAGGATCCCAAGGATTCCGACAGTTAAAATTTTTTTTACTAGTCATGATTTTTTTCACCTGTAATTAAATTTATATCCAAATAATAGTCTATTATTTATTTAATATTCGCGTTAGTTTTAAAGAATTTATTTAATTTTAAGAAATAAGAAATAAATTTCAAAACAATGTTTTCCTAATAATAATATTGTGAATGTATTATGAAAAGGATATTTACATTTGTGAAAAAATCCATTAGTATTTCGTATCCAATAAAAAGTACCAAATTCAACAATGAAGAAGTATGTTTCTCTGATTATAATTCTCAAAGATTTTTTTCTTCTTTTATTTGAATGGAAAGCGCATCATTGATTATTTTTCAGTTGATGCAATTAATTAAATTAAATTAAGAACTAGACGATAGTTGCCACTCCAAACCTGCGAATTGAACTTTTTAACACAAAACCCTATTTTAAGACTAATATTGATGAAATGATATGAGGAAAAAATTCATTCGTCATTCATTCATAAAATATTTTAAAATAACGAATGAATTTAAAATCGAAAAAAGAATTCCATGAAATTTATTCATTAAGTCTCGGGGTTCCGCCAAAGGGTTCCACAGTCGGGGGAAAAATTGGAAACCGCTGTTCCAGAGGATTAAAAAAAATGACTATTTTAAATGTTGAGCTTTTAAAACAATTTGAAACTTCCGAATGCAAAATTTTAAAACTTACTTTTCCGTAATTGGTGATGGTAATGTTGATGAGGATATATTAAAAATACTGTCAGACATTGTTTGATTTTGTGATGAAGGACACATACTAATGCTCAGAGGTAATACAGGTTGAACATATCCTGAATGAAGAGAGCTTAGTGCAATCCAGGCCATTATTACACAAGTGACTACTACAGCAAAAGATATACACTGAAATTAAATAAATTCATATCATTTAAATACCAAACTTTCTTGCTGTTATTTCTTGAGTAATATTTTAATGCTCAACTGAACAAAATCGGTCGAATAATTCCTGAGAAATAGATTTTGAACAAGTCTTAAAGTAAATTATATTTATATATAAAAATGTATATTTATACGTGAAAAATTACATTTAGTGTTTGATTTTTCAAATTAAAATATAGTCTGCACTAGATAATTAGCATATTTGAGGTCACCCCAGCGTGCCATTAAGATTGAGTCCTAGTACGTGAAAATACAATCATTTAATCAAAAGTTATTCAGAGAGTGCTGCTTTTGTGCGTGTGTGGTCATTGTACTTCTTATTTTTGAGCATTTACTGGTTTCTTCACACTAAAAGAACATTTTTACCACGTCCATAGCATTTGATTTTTTAGATGATAAATTTAGATCTAAAAGACGGCCTTAAATTCATTTGCTCTGATATACGTACCAGTTTAAACCAATATATTTAGTTTTTACTACTATGTTCCTAAATGCGATTGATTGTTACTCTTAAAATGTATTTACATTTAAATGTGTTTGACGTTATTGAATTTATTTTACATTATTAAATGTATTTTGCGTTAATAATTGTATTTTGCCATATTAAATGTTTAATGTGATTCAACATTGTTTAATGTGATTATGTTATTTTTCTGCTAAACAATTTAAATGCGTTGATTGCTGTTGCTGAAAATAGCGAGTTTATTCAGAACACAAAACTGAAAATGCTTATGAATTGAACCAAATGTTTCAAGTAAAATAAAAAAAGTACGTAAAGCAATCATGAATGATAAGGAATTACTCCAGACAACATGAAATGCTGACATTATAACAGTTAAAAACAATATTGCTGTACTTAAAATATTTGTTATGTATATTGATATAATTTGAATTATAGACAAATTAATCATTTTTACAGTTTAGTTCCACTTGCACTTATTCACCTTATATTTTACTAGTAAAAAATATATAATTTAATGACACTTTTTACGAAATCTAAATTTTATCCGAACGAACAAGCCTAACTTTTCTGGTTATCAGCAGCAAAAATATACAACAAAAAGTATTAAATTGTTTGAAAAATTTCTCAGAAAAAATGGTTAAATAACAATTTATTTAATTGTTATTTAATGATGTTCAAACAAAACAGTCAAAGAACCATAAATAAGCATAAATAAGATAGTATAAGGAATGTTAAATGAGAAAAAAACTGTTTATTAACTGATTTCATCTAATATAATTAAACAACTAGAATTTTATAGCACCAACTACGTTCGCCAAATGAAGCCTTTTAGTTCCTTGCAGGTGGGTACATATTATAGTCCATGAGGCTATTCTGTCAATTTTATGACCAACAAACGAGATGTCGGTGTCCCAGCGTTGACCAATTTATGTTAACAATATTTTATCTATTAACTTCAACACAAGAAGATGTTTCCAGAGTCTTGCACTTTCCAATTTGTGTGCCCTGGACTAATAACATGCGATACGCTCATTCACGCATAGATGGCAGCACAATAAAGCTGCTAAACTATCTCCAATGTCTAGTTACATTCCGTTTAATGATTTTGAAACCATGATAGATATGATTTGTTAAAAAAAAACGTATAGATTTGTATTCATGGTTTTTTGACCATACTAGAAATAAATGTTCGTTACCGTTAAATTTACGTTCAATTGCATGGACAGACTGCTTCCGATTATTTTACCATATCATGGATTGAAAGTGTTCGTTGGCTAGGTACTATGATGGTTTCCCTATTTTGCAGGGATGTTTGGATTTGGCCCAGATTTATCTAGTCATGAAAATATGATAACAGACACACATTTTTCGCTGTCCCGAGATTTTAAAGGGAGGCTCTAAGAGGGAGTGGTTGCAAGGATCTTCTAATCTTAATGAATCGTCATTCATTTGATAAAATTTAGAGATTTTGATTCGCTAAAAGGATATCGCCACTCTGACGGTGGGAAATTTTTGGAACTATCTTAATGCTTACTTTATCTACGAATTATTGCCCATTAACTTCAGGAAATGATCATCTATCTGGCTTTATCTGGTTCATCTTGACTTTTTATGGCTCTTTGTGAGAGACCGACTTCTACATCTTAAACTTGGAATAATTATATAAATGGAAAATAATACACATGGAAAAATTATATAAATTATATAAATTAACTTGGTAACTAGATAACTATATTATAAAACTTGGAAACTAACAAATCAAAATTTTCAGGATTCAGCTCCATGCCACACAGCAAAAGTATGCAAAGCATGGTTTCAAAATAAAGGCATAGATATATTACCATGGCCACGAAACAGCCCTGATCTCAATCCAATTGAAAACTTGTGGTGACGTTTGAAACTTCTTGTACGACTTTTCTTGTCAGCATTCCAAACAGAAAAGCTGCACAAATAATACCCTGAGGTAATGCAATAAATACTTGAGTCAAATGGTGAATACTGTCTGTGCGTTGAAAAACAAAGCTAAGACCTATGCAAACACCACCATAGATAGCAGCTATTAAAATAAAGTACTTAAATAAATTGTCAAAATTAAAACTACTGTATATAAATGAAATAAACTAAAAGCATCTAAATTTTTTAAGATGTATGTCCATTGACTCAGTCAAGGAGATAGTGAAATAAAATAATATTTTCTTGCCTGGTTCTCCGAACGAGTGGTATTTTACTTATGCTTTTTACAAAAACTCCAGCAGAGCCTGTATTGTTTTCCTTATTTTTGCTTTAAATTATATTACATTATTCTTAGGGTATATATAAAAGCCAAAACTTGGAAGGAATTTAAACTTCAAGGAGCAGTCACATTAAAAAATTATTGATGCCAATTAAGTATAAACTATTCATATTTTTCGTACATCTATTTGTTAAGTTCTTTGCAATAAACTATTTATTAACTTGATTAATTTTTCCCAAAATAGGGAATAATATGTGTATGCTTGAAGACTCACTACCATGACAGTGGCTTCCTAAACCAGAATACCATGCAATGCTGATTTTCAGTCCAAATGCCGCGAGTCGCGCACAATTTCTGAGCTCCAAAAACTAAGTCAGAAAGGAAAGACAGACGGCGAACGAGCACAAAGACCAAGATTAAAGCAACAAGGTAACTATGTAATTCAATCGCAGATGACATCAGCATATGAGCAAGTACAGTCCGCAAAAAAAAAAAAAAAAAAAAAAAAAAAAAAAAAAAAAAAAAAANACTTTCGTTCTAATGATCGGATTTTCACGTACTAAGTGTCAATCTTAATGGTTCCTAGGGGTGACCTCAAATATGCTAATTAATTGGTGATAACTTATTAATTAAGTTACGAAATCAGACACA